TTACTCACATAGTCATGGTGTCTGGTGCTCCCCGACGAGGACTTTGAGCTGGCCCAAGAGGGCTGCCACCCGAGCCCACCCTATGTGGACGTGATTGTCGCTGGACAAACCGCCTTTTGACACAGAGCCCTCGGTAGCGTCTTGTCTTCACCATTCCGACAATTTCCGGGAGAGTACGCCATACCATTCAGCCAACAACGCTGTCCGAGTCGAGTAGGGAGCTGGGAGAGCGGGAATGCCCAGAAGTTGGTGACGTCGAGTTGGCGCAACTTCAATACAATACCGTGCCCTGCGCGTCGTAATCCTGAGCCAGAATACGCAAGAATGAAGTGGTTACATTGAGCTGTCGAGGAGATATCGTCGTCCGAAGTTCCTTTGGGGGCGCTTAGGAGGGGAAAACAGGCAAATGCGCGAGACGCGGCGCGGCGCTCTCACGACAAGCGAGCTGAAACCGGCTGTAGCTCAGCTGTTCTCGTCATCGGCATGGCTCATACAGAGAAGAACGTTGACAGAAGGCGCATCCGGATCAGCCTGGGCTGTATGGCGGGAGTTCTAGGAGCAATTTGGATCCACCGAGGTCGGTCATCGCTGCAACGCGATCGGCGCGCACAGGGAAGGCGTGGGAATCATGGCTTCTGGCATATTTGACCCTCGAAAGTGGTGTGATTAAACCGGCTGCCTTCTCTCTCTGCCCTCCGTTCTTTCTCCAGACTTGCTCGGCCATGTCGAAACGCATCCGCATTTTCACTGAGGAGGACGTCGCCAAGCACTCAGGCACCACCAGTTGCTGGGTCACCCGCGGCGGCAAGGTTTACGATGTCACCACCTTCCTGGCCGACCATCCCGGAGGAGACGATCTCATCCTCAACTATGCCGGCAAGGACATTGGTGCTATCATGAAGGACTCGGCCGAGCACGAGCATTCGGACTCGGCATACGAGATGCTTGAGGAGTTCGTGATTGGCAGACTAGGGGTAGGCGAACACATTGTAGACGAAAGTATGTACGTTGCCAAGCGGCGGGTCAGGTCCTCGCTCACGGGTTATCTCTAGACTGGGAGGCCCCCGACGATTTCGAGCCTGAGGAAACAGATACTTCAGCGGACTTCGAGAAGAACCAGTTCCTTGACCTCAGGAAGCCTCTGTTCATGCAAGTGTTCCGGGCCGACTGGTCCAAGTCATACTACCTCCAGCAGGTGCACCAACCCCGTCACCTCCATGAGTCTCCCCGCCTGTTTGCTCCTTGGTACCTCGAGGTATATGCGTGCCGCGACCTTGTTTCTCTACTACGTTGATAACACTGTGTGCAGATGTTCACGAGGACGGCTTGGTATGTCGTGCCGATTGTATGGCTACCCATCGCGGGGTACATCTTCTTGCGCTCCTTGGTCCAGTTTTCGCATGGACCATACTCACTCCCTCCGTTTGCCGTGGACCCTTTGGCACCGGTGAAGGCCGCGCTTGCTGGTCGTATTGTCCCTCAAGCCTTCCTCTATGCCATGCCGTCGTTTTTCCTCGGCAACCTCGTGTGGACCATTCTGGAGTACATCTTCCACAGGTTCTTGTTCCACATTGACGGACTTCTCCCCGACCATCCCTATGCGTTGATGCTCCACTTCTTGATGCATGGCATCCACCACTACCTCCCCATGGACAGGTGAGTAGAGGAGTGTCCCGATGGTATACGCTGATGCTAACATGGCCCAGGCTGAGGCTGGTCATGCCCCCGTTGCTCTTCGTCGTCCTGTCAACGCCTATGACCAGGCTGGCGCACCTCATCTTCCCCAGGGCCATGGCTAACGGTGTGATCGCCGGCTCCTTCACGTTCTGTAGGTACGCTCGCCTCTTAATGACGGATCGTCTCTCATCACATCGAATGCAGATGTTCTTTACGACGTCATGCATTACGCGTAAGTCTCCGTCTCCAGCATCCAGCTAAGCTTTCTCTTACCGTTATGTCCAGTCTCCACCACACGAGACTCCCTGCGTATGCCAAGGAAATGAAGAAGTACCACCTAGCCCACCACTACAAGAACTTCGACCTTGGCTTCGGAGTTACGAGCAAGATCTGGGACTACGTCTTCAACACCGTCCTACCCGTCTAGAGAGCCTTGCGCCTCGCGTGCGCCCTGGCGTTCACGAGGTAAAAGCAACAGATTTGGTAGTTTGGATGTCGTGGTTGTTCTTATCGGTATCGTATAGTGGCTCTAATGACCTCTTCACGGTGTATGGATGTTGCCAGGGTAGTGCAGTAGTTTGTTGACTCTGTTCAACCCCTCGCATGTCTAGTGCCTTCGATTGTGTGGCCATATTCAGCTAATTGTGCATAGACGGCTTGTATATACCTCCACCGCGAGCTGTAAGACATGCTCGTACCAAGATTCCCAATTGTGTGGTCACCTCTTGCTGCGGTCAACGACAGGTCCCCTCTTCCAAGCATCCCACAGCATGGTTATTCCCCGCCAGAGCGCTCAAGCTCATGCATATACAGCTACCAGCATACACTCACAGATGACAATGTCTCCCAGCAGTTCTTGGGCAATTGGAAGTTGGCTGATTGGAATCCGAGGTTTATGAGACGTTGAGCCGCGTGCGAACCTACCGCGTCGGCGTTCTTGACCTCGTATCCATTCACATCACCGCAAGAAGGTGCGGACGGTTTGCCTCACCGTACATACGTCGCCGTTTCTACTCAAGACTAGCTTCACTCACTAGACGGACGGTTTGTCGTCCGCGAGAAATGCGAGGTGTAGGACGAGCTCACGACGTACACCCCGAACATACCGCGAATATCAACCGTCGACGCGATAGCTTCTCCCAATATCCCTCGCGGCGCTCGGGACCGTCTGCTTCGCCATGTGACCTGCTCGACATCTGCTCTATCGTCTTCTGTCGCTGGCGGTGAACAAGCGGTACTGATGCTCGATGACCGCAAGAGCCAACTGACCTCCGTCGGGCGCCCCGGGCACTTGTCGGTGGCCAATCCCAGGTACGAGTCGCGTTGCACACGAAGATACTGGCATTCACGTTACATATGCCGCCTCGAGGAGGTACTCGGCAGCTGCGTTCTGGTGTACGAATTTCGGCTCTAGATGCGAACATGGCTTCATCGGTGCGCCGTGAAGCCGTCCTGAGTTAGCTATAAAGTCGGCAATTCATGGGCGGAAAGCAGCTCGAAGGTCACCCCGTTCCCCATCAAAATGTCCAAGTTCGCTGCCCTGCTCGCTGCTGTCACGCTTGCGGTCACTGTCCGCGCACAGTCGGCTGCGCCTGTCTGGGGCCAATGTGGTGGCACGGTGAGCGCGGTTCCGGCTATATGCGCGCTGTTCTGTACGAAGCTAACTTGTATGATGCCAGGGCTGGACCGGCGCGACCACCTGCGAGTCCGGCTCCGTCTGCACTGTCCTCAACTCCTGTACGTGCCTTCGTCTCCTGCTCGTGCCAATCGCCAATTTACACCATCTCAAGCCTACTCGCAATGCGTCCCCGGAGCGGCCACTACGGCCGTCTCCCCCTCCACGACCTCCTCCGCCCCCGCGCCCACCTCGACCTGCCAGATCCCCCCCGCGTCAGCGGGCAAGCTGCGCTTCGCGGGCGTGAACATCGCCGGGTTCGACTTCGGGTGCGGCACGGACGGGACGTGCAACGCGTCGGGCGCGTGGCCGCCCCTGACGCAGTACTACGGCGCCGACGGCGCGGGGCAGATGCAGCACTTCGTCGAGGACGACGGCTTCAACGTGTTCCGGCTGCCCGTCGGGTGGCAGTTCCTCACGAACGGCGCCGCGAACGGGGACATCGACGAGGACAACTGGACCGAGTACGACGCGCTCGTGCAGGCGTGCCTGGACAGCGGTGCGAGCTGCATCGTGGACGTGCATAACTATGCGCGGTTCAACGGCGAGGTGAGCGGGCTGCTTGGGTGGGACTCGGGTGCGGGAGGTTGACTGACGGGCGGGGGTCGTTTGCGCAGATCATTGGGCAGGGCGGGCCGACGAACCAGGACTTCGCTGCGCTGTGGTCGAGCATCGCGGCCAAGTACGCGGACAACGACAAGATCATCTTCGGCGTGTGCGTATCTTCATCACCACGTTCGACTCAAGAGGATGAGGTGCTGACTTCGGGCGTAGGATGAACGAGCCCCACGATGTACCAGACATCAACGCCTGGGCCGACAGTGTCCAAGCTGCCGTCACGGCCATTCGCCAAGCGGGGTACGTCCGACGGGTTGCTGGCGAATATCCGTATTGCTCACGTTTTCATGGCTGCGCAGCGCCACTTCGCAGCTCATCCTTCTGCCGGGCAACAACTGGACGTCCGCGGAGACCTTCGTCTCGAACGGCTCCGCCGACGCGCTCAAGAAAGTGACGAACCCCGACGGGAGCGTGACGAACCTCATCTTCGACGTCCACAAGTACCTCGACTCCGACAACTCGTACGTCCCTGCTGCCTCTTTCTCTGGCTGCCTACTGACGGGCCGCACGGGGACGCACAGAGGAACGCACGAGGACTGCGTGACGAACAACATCGACAACGCGTGGGCCCCGCTCGCGGAGTGGCTCCGGTGCAACGGGCGGCAGGCGTTCAACACCGAGACCGGCGGCGGGAACGTCGCGTCGTGCGAGACGTACATGTGCGAGCAGATCGCGTACCAAAACGCCAACTCGGACGGTGAGCGGCCTCTTCTTGCTCCCTGTCCTCGGCTTCGCGCGCGAATTTGAACGGGCTGACGCATGAAACGATGCAGTGTTCTTGGGGTACGTCGGCTGGGCGGCGGGCAACTTCTACCAGGGGTACGTGCTCGGGGAGGTCCCGACGTACAGCAATGGTGTCTGGACGGATACCTCGCTCGTTGCGACGTGCCTTGCGCCAAATGCACAAAAGTAGGACTGGAGGGGGGTCCTGGCTAGATACCTTTTCTCGCGAGTATACGCAGGGGTGGGGTAGTTTTGAAGTTGTATCTATCGTTGCTGCGTTCGCGTACTGCACCCAAGTCAGCGCCTGCCTGCCTGCCTAATGTGGATCCGTCCGTTCGTAACCCGAATTGAGTAATGGCAGGTCTACATACGACGCACGGGGCGACAAAAGACACACTCTGGCCGTGCAGGCGACTCTCGCCCATTGCAGGCCTCAGCGGCTTCTTTCTGTGTTCATTGTTGCGCACGTTCGACGCTCGCGCTCTCTCTGACTGACGTCGCTGCGCTCTATAACCGCCGTGCACAAGAATAGCGCGCTTCGCTGACGGCGTCGAGCCCATAAAGCATCCTCGGGCGGTCCACGTCTTCGCACCGTCCCCACTACAAGCGTCCGCCTGCCCCACATATACCCAGGTCCCTTCTCCACACATCGCCCACTCCTCTATTCGCTGCGACCATCATGCGCATCTCATCTCTACACGCTCTCGTACTGACCGCGGTGCTTGCGGGCGCACCAAGCGCCTACGCCTGGGGCGCAGCCGGCCACGAAATCGTCGCGACCATAGCGCAGATCCACCTCCCCAAGCCCGTCCTCCAAACCGTCTGCGACATCCTCAATCCCTTCCTCGACGACGACACCACCGCCTCCCCGTTCCAGCCCCCCACGTCGTCCTGCCCGAACCCGCGCTCCGCGTCCGCCGACGCCGACGCCGACGCCTCGTACCCCCCGTGCCACCTCGCCTCCATCGCCGCCTGGGCCGATCAGGTGCGCTCGAAGCCCCAGTACCGCTACACCGCGCCGCTGCACTACGTCAACGCGGTCGACGACGCGCCCGCGGACGCGTGCGCGTTCCCCGGCCCGCACGGGTGGCAGGGCCGGCCGACGGGGAACGTGCTCGCCGCGCTCGGCAACGTCACGCGCGTCCTGCGCGGCTTCGCGGCGGGCGAGCAGGGCGCGGGCGCCGCGGACGAGGCGCTGCGCTTCCTCGTGCACTGGGTGGGCGACATGCACCAGCCGCTGCACATGAGCGGGCGCGAGAAGGGCGGGAACGGCGCGCGCGTGCAGTGGAACGGGCGCGTCACCAGTGCGTGTCCCTTTCCGCATCCTGTCGCGGTATAGCAACATGGGGTGGATTCACTGACATCGGCGCGCGCAGACCTCCACAGCGTGTGGGACGGGCTGCTCATCGCGCAGTCCATCCGCCAGACGCCGCGCAACTACTCGCGCCCGCTCGCGGGGCCCGCGGGGGCGCTCGTCGAGGCGCACCTCCGCGGCGCGATCTACGACCCGTTCGTGCGGCGGATCATGCACGAGGGCCTCGCCGTCGGGGGCCGGTTCGACGGCGAGAGCGACGGGTGGCTCGACTGCCCCGAGCCGTCTGCGGGCGTGCAGCCGCTGGAGCAGGGGTACGGGTGGCAGGCGCGCCTGCAGGCGTTGCGCGCGCTGGACTACAGGGCGGCGCTGGGGCTGACGACGCCGGCGGGGGCGGAGGCGCGGTGGGACGACGGGACGCTGTGTCCGTACGCGTGGGCGCGGCCGATCCACGCGCTGAACTGCGAGCTGCCGGTGTGGCCGCACGAGCTGGACGAGGGCGGGCACCGCGAGGCGTCCGGTGCTGAGCGGGGAGAAGAGTACTCGCTGGCGGAGGAGCTGGCGGACTTTGACGACGTGCTCGGGATCCACGTGGAGGTGGCGGCGGGGAGGCCGCGGCGGCACCCCGAGCTGGTCGAGCTGGACACGGCGGGGTACGCGGGGAAGATCGCGGAGGGGTGGGTCGTGGAGCGGTTGCTGGCGATGGCGGGGGTGCGGCTGGCGGGGGTGCTCACGGATGTCTTCCAGGAGGTGTCTGACGAGGCGGTGATTGGTGCTGGAGTGTAATGGATGATTGGATAGCGCTTTGCACATGCTGTTGTATACCGGATGTATAGTACTTTGCTTGGATGTACATTGGATTTGAACGAACGGAGATAACCTGCAACATCCTCGTCCTCTGCCCTCGCTACATCCAAGGATCTGTGACGCGATCACGTGTGTAGTTGTTGACGCGTCCCAGGGCGCGCGGGAAAGGGCGGGGAAGAGACGCTGGAAAAGCGTCCTTGCTTGCAGCTCATCCTAAAGGAAGCGGCCAACACAATATTCAGACGCCATGAAACGCCCCCGCGACATGTTCGACACCCCCGCATCCTCCTCCCCCTCCAAACGACGCCTCCTCTCCCAGCCAGCCCACCCCTCGTCCTCCCCCTCCGCACCCCGATCGACGCCCTACACCCTCCCCCGCCACCCCCTATCCTCCCCATGGGCGTTCGCCACCCCCCACGACTCCCCCTCGAACCCCTTCGGCCTCAACCGCGCCCTCCGCGCCCTCGCCCTCCCCCGCCCCAGCGGCTTCGGCAAGCACATCGTCCTCCGCATGCAGCTCGTCTCCACCGCCGACCCTCCGCCACACACCCGCACCCGCCCCTCCCGCCGCCACGCCGACGCCCCCTTCCGCGTCGTCCAGGTCCCGCTCAACTACTCCTTCCGCCTCCTCCACATGCTCGTCCTCTTCCTCTTCGCCAGCGACGCCCGCCTCCAGGTCACCCGCCCCCGCCGCGTCTTCAGCCCCCCTTCCCCCTCGCCCCTCACCAGGAGGCCGAGAGACAAAGGCAAGGCGAGCGACAGGGCAGATGGCGCGCATGGAGAGGGCAAGGGAGGCGCGGACAGCAAGGGGCACTTGTTCGAGGTCCTCCACGGCATCTCCGTCTGCTCGCTCGCGGGACAACGCCCTGGGCAGATCAGGGCCGGGACGGGGAAGCTCTATGCGCGCCTGTCGAGCGCGCGCGAGCGGAAGCTCTTCCCTGACCCGGACGAGGACGACGAAGAGGAGGGGTGCGACCCCGTGCCAGGCGCAGAGGATGCGGACGAGGACGGGGAGGAAGGCTGGGACTGGGAGGCCGAGGACGACTTCACGCTCTCGAACGTCTGGCCGGACGGGCTCGACCTGAAGAAGGGCATCATCTACGTACGTCCGCCCCCTCTGCGCGCTGTGTGCTCCGTTTCTGGTCCGCGCGCGCCCCTTCCGCCGCGGGGAGCTGGCTGACGCCGTCGCACGCAGCATCACGCCCCCGAGACGTACGTCCACATCACCGTCAACCAGACGAAGGTTCCCGGGCGCAAGGGCACGGGCAACACCCCGCACGTCTTCGCCGCGCGCGGCGGCACGCTCGGCGCCGTCCGCATCGCCAACCTCGCGTCCGGCCCCGTCCCCCCGCCAGACGACTGGGACGAGAAGGAGAACAAGAGCGCGTCTCTCGCACACAAGGGCAGGGCAAAGGATAAGAGCAAGGGCAAGAGCAGGGCGCGCGCGACCAAGGACCGCACGGAGGAGCCCTCCTCCGCCTCCGAGGACCTGGAGGACGTACCGGAGCTGGAGGCACTGGAGGAGGCGAGCGACGCGCAGCTCGAGCGGTGGAACGCCGCGGACGCGTTCCCGCGGTTCCTCCGGCGCGAGGCCGCGCGGGAGCGCGCGATGCGCAGATCCGACGCGCCTCCCTCCCCAGCCGCGCGTCCTCAGCAGCCCGCCCGCGCTACGGCTGCCCGCAACGCGCTCGCTCCCCCGTCGTCGCCGCTGACGTCCGCGCGGAAACGCGGGTCAGGTTCACCGTCGCAGGCGCACACGCGCTGCTCGTACGGGTACGCGCACCCCAGCGCCGCGTCCTCATCATCATCCGCGTCCCTCGCGCCCTCGAGCCCGAGCACGCTCCCCATCATCCTCCCCTCGTCCGACGTCGACGTCGACGGCTGGTCCGACCCCGAGCACGACCCCAGCCAGGCGTCTGCGTCCTCCGACTGGGACGCGGACGCGGAGGAGACGCAGCGTCCGCGATACTCGATCGAGCTCCCGCTGCAGACGCCCTTCCCCGCGCACCCCGCGGTGCGCAGGCGCATCTCGCGGGTGTCGAGGCGGCTGGAGCGGCATACGAGCAAGGGGCTGAGCGAGATGAGCGAGGATGAGGAGGAGGGGGAAGATGATGAGGCGGAGGACGAGAAGGAGAAGGAAGAGAGGGAGGAGAAAGGGAAGGGGAAGGGGAGGGGCGCGAGCCCGAGCGAGGACGCGACGGTGCGGCGCGGACCTGCCCCTGCTTCAGCTCCTAACCCAGCCCCGCCGCCTGTGCCCCCGGTCGTTGCGGCCGAGGGCCCTGATATCGCGTCAGGGCGAGGCGCGGATGCGCGGGACAGTGTCGAGCGAGCGGACGGGGAGGAGGAGGACAGCGAGGACGAGGGCTGGGAGATCGGGAGGAGCATATGGGGTCTGGGTCCCGTCCCGCCCGACTGGGACTCGGAGGACGAGGCCTGAGGCCTGAGGCCTGAGGTTCTGCGCGTCAGCCTGAAGGCGTGTGTGCACGGAGCGCTTCCCCCGACACTGACGCAGGAGTATCGTCGACAGCGCATTTGTATCAGTAGCTACTCGTTGCATGTTTCACGCGCGTCGCTCGCGGACTAGGTGGGATACCCGGGTGCATAGGTTGTTGCATTCGTGCGTGACGCTTTCTTACTATATACACTCTATCGTACTGCTTGCAGCCTATTTCGTGCCTTGTTCGGCGAGTACTTCGCAAGAGGCGGAGCGGTCCACCTGGTCATGTCTATACTTCCAGCATATCCGTAAAGACAGGGTCCGAACGTGCCGATACCACGGACTCACGCGTGCAAGTCCTCGATCGTTGACTCGATACTGGATGCCCAGTACGGACGTCTTGGAGTATATTCAGGGCTAGGCTCTCGAGGACTGCGGAGCGAAATATGTCAGAATTCGTATAGTACCGGTGGCGTTGATATGGAATGTCAAAAACAATAGGCGAGGGTGACTAGAATGTTATGGGGGCGGGCAGCAGACAGTAAGTAAGTATACCGAGTCCGCCGCCATCGATACCATCATATAAATGCATGGAAAGTACAGATCGATTACCACCAGGCCCTTTCGACCGCAATTTGCTGCGGACAAAGACCGCGACGGATAGTACGATCCGCGTACGGCAGCGGGCACTCTATGGCGGGGCTGTCCGATCTGAACACGACCCCAAGAGAGATGATCCAGGAAATATGACGAGACAATGTATGGATTACTTGGTCACAATCTGACTTACCGGCGGTATCGTTCGGTCGCGCTCCCCAGGGTAGCGGTAGGAAGAGCCTGGACGCAACAGTACGATTCGCATCCCGACAGGGTGGTCAGTGGGGACGAGCTCGTATATAGATCCCAGCGAGCATAAATTAGTACGCCGTGTTTTGCGCGGTTCACATGATTCAACATGACTGTGTAACGAGCACATATACCCGCCGTTGAGCGAGAGTACAGGATCTCATTTATCTTGCCTTGTGGCGTAGTGCCAGTGGACGGGCGTGTTCGAGCCAAATTACACTATGATGTTATGCGTGCCTCCGTCAGTTAGCTCACGATTCTGGGAGCACACTCTGTGTACATAGGACCTGTAGATCCGCGGGAGTGTAGGTATGAAATAAACGACTGACCGCTTGAGCCCGTTGCAGGGAAATTGATAGAATCTGGAGACATATATATGACATGAATTTGCAAGGGTGGTGTTGTATTCCATCGCCTCAGCATGCGACGCTTGCATTGATGTACACGACCAGGATTTTGCGATCGCAAGGATGGGAGACCCACATAGACTGGTTGGCCCCGGAAAGTCGGCACTTTTTGTCATACATAGATGGCCGCTCTTCCCCGTCGGAATCCAGTTGGTCCAAAGTAGCGGGTGACTGGTTGGCAGGGATGGGTCCCTCGGTGACCACATCGGCTACATACAGGGCAGACGCAGACCAGTTTTGTCGATGATGACGTCTGGAAATTGAAGGTCTCCAGGGATGTTTGTTGGCCCGGGAGTGCCACCGCCACTACTGTCCGTTGTTATGTGACACAAGACAAGAGCCATTCCTAGTACTTGAGCAATTTGACTGCGGTGAGAAATTTGGCAAGGTCCTCAATCAATTTCCGTTCGCAGAGAACTATGGCTTGATATATATGTGGTTGCAATGAAATTCCTCACAGCACCTAATAAGCCTCAGTGGTGGGTTCCATCATCTTTGCTGTCCGCTTCTTGCTATCGGGTATTCCAATCAACGGGGGCTCTGCTACCTGCGTACGCAGTCGATTGCTGGAAGCACCTTGCTGAGTCGGAAGGCAAAGAAGTACATATGTACGTGAACGCGCCGATCAGACGGAAATATGGAAAGTACCGGGGGGCTGTGTTACATCAGCAATCCCAGGTCTCAACCTGGCAGATCAATGTCATCACCGTCTGCTCACTTGCTAATACGGTCGTCCAGGTACGCATTTACCCGTTCATGTTCATATGTATTACGAGCTAGTGATATCTCGAATTATGTAGGCTATCCACTCGACACAGGCTGCCCTGCGGGGCGTCCCTGAGACTCCCTTCCGCATGTCTCCGTTCTGTCGTGCACTTGCACTTGTGGGGTATGGTCGATGACCTTGGGCGTCACTTGGCCAGGACCGAACTCGAATTGAAAGTCCGAGATATCACGCCTCATGGAGCAGATTGGCCGACCGTCGGATGTCTTCGTAGCGACTCGAACTGATGAGGGTCAATGCATAACATGAGCTGGACTTGGCTGACCTCCTCAAGAATTTCTGAGATCAGATGATGCTGAAGATGGCCATCGGAAGGAGGAGGGCGCGCAGGCGGCGCACATGGCTGCAGGTATGAAGGATCATCTGGATTTCGATGGAGACGCGAAAAGGCGTCTATCAATCAATGCAGGTTGGATGGCAAGTGGGAATGAGGTGAGAGCCCAGACCATACCATGTCTGGCGATGGATCTCGTAAGAGGGATCTTGATGCGTAGATTATTTACGCGACCTCCTGCAGCTCACCTGTCTCATGGAACCGCGTTTATAGCCGCCATCAGCAGCATCCACCATAATAAGATTCCCTCCTCTCAAATTCAACGCCGCGGACGCTCCCCGACCTACTCATGCTGTCGCGTCGGTTGTAGCCTTGCCCTATCTTTTCCTTACGGCCACACCCATCTTGCGTATGCCATAATCAGGCCGCCTACAGCAAGGAGACCTGGACTACGAGCGTGATGACAAGTTTCATCGTTACCATTCGCAGTGAGTCATCTTCGCCGTTAGTCCTGCGGGCCTACTCCCGTCCGCTAATCACGTCTACTTTTGCTTGACAGTACTGGCGACACTTCTGCCCGCACTGGGTATTATGTTCACGTCACTGAGGTTATATTATCGCTGGTCGAGGCATCACTTCGGCTGGGACGATGGATGGGCTGCTTTCGCCATCGTCTGCGCCTTCTTCTTGACCGCGGGAGCGTGGACGCGAAGCGATACACCCAGTAGGTATCTACTGCCGTACCGAGCGTCGTGGCTCTTATACATTATCTCAGAGACTGGACCTTTTCACCACGGTCACCATGTTCGCATCATTGGCTACTACATGCTGAACGTCGCATTCACGTGCGTACTTTGGTATGTCTCCCCAACAATCGTCCTTGAGTCGGAGAAATGGAGCTCACCATTCATAGGGCATCCCGCCTGAGCATCCTCTGCTCCATTATTAGGCTCATACCATACATGATGAGACTGCGGAACTACGCGCACGTCTTCAGCGCACTTTTCGGCATCATGTGGGCGGCACTCATCATCATCAAAATCGTCGTCTGTGAGACGGACACCGCCTGGAAGAAGACTGCGGGTGTCCAATGTGTCTTAGGTCCTGCAGTTGCAGGTATAGAGCTTGCAAGTAGGTCCGTTTTGTCGACGTACCCGCACGAGTCTCTCATTATTCCTCATAGCGGACTTCATCGCGGACCTAATCCTCGTTGTCCTGCCAATCCGCCTTCTGTGGCGCATCAAGCTCTCCACGGCTCGACGTGCCCTTCTCACGGGCATATTTTCAGCATCTATGTTCACGACAGTTGTCAGCATTGTTCACGGTGTCTACGTTATCAGCCGGAATCGTAACGCGGAAGGCATCTGGGCGCATATATTGGTGAGTTTCCTGCGATCCGCCGTGTAGAGAATGCCGTTGAGATCACGGCCGCAGGCATCCACCGCAATGATCGTCTGTAACCTCGCCGTCCTCGTGACTTGGGCTATGCGCGCGATCGGCCACCGCGACGATAGCGAATTATATAGCTCAAACCGTATTCAGGGCGATCCAAGGAGCGACGCCTCCCGGGCCAAGGATCTGACCACCCTCCGCTTCAACCATGGCACCCATCCTATCGTCCTTCAGTCCCTCGACCGCAAAGATGATGGGACCACCGCTGTCAACTCTATCGCGGGCTCGCATGCTGGGTCAGAGGAGTCCCTCGCTCCCATGACATTCGCCGGCAATACCGACAAACCCATAATGACCAAGGCCGACCAAGCAGCCTACCCCCAGGCCAATCCTCAGCGATGACTCCGTGGTATGACGGTATTCGGTTGCCCTCTAACCCCCACTCGCCGGAAGACGCCTTGTTGCCTCCCAATTCCCGGCGCCAAATCGCAAGACATGGACTACCCGACGACGGTGAGAGGGGTATGCGTGTGCCTCGCGTTAGAACTGCGGTGTTACGCTGCTGCCGTCATCGGCTGCGCTGTGGCGTTGGGAGATGTACTCATTGCGTAACTTGCGGGGTCCTTTTGGCACGCCTATGTTGTGGGTATCCACCGTGTCCTATCCGGGGGGATGTGATACGTAGAGGAGTTGCATCGTCGACGACGTCTGCTGCATGCCCAACCTGACTCACCATCTGCCGAGCTTATCCGGGACTAAAAATCAAGGCACCTAAGGATGCGAAGAACCCCAGAACACAAGATTCCTAGGTGTGAACGTCGCGTGACGGTGAATATCGCTATCCCGACCAAGACAAGGCCCGTCTGTGCAATCTGTCATCTGCGGACAAGCCAGAATATCGGAGTGCGCAGATCGGCCTATACCATCGCCCACGACTTCGCGATGTCAATCTTGAGCTTGATTCTTGATCATCTGTTCTCCTGCGTCCACGGCATCGATGAAAATGTATGTCACGCTGTCTGTCGTTACGGTTTCTATAGTAAGCTCTAGAATTTCACCTTTTGGCTTACAATGCTTTAGAGGGTACAGCCGGTCACGAGGCGCCGTGCTAGCTTCCCATTCGCAGACCTTTTTGAATTTCTGCCAATGAATGTATCGGGGGTGCTCTTTACCAGTGCAGCAGTCCTCCTCCATCCTGAATGCCGGCGCCCAGGTAGCGTAATGGGGCAAGTGTCGTGTGGCGCCAGATATCCTTGCTTCGGGCTGGAAGCAAATGCACTACCCCGACTGCATTCCATAGCGAAGCCCCCAATAAACACCGCATGCTTAAACCCCCGAGGCCTCCATACTAGTACGTAGCTGCGTTCTCGGTTTTCCCTCGCCCTGTGATCGCACTAGCAGTGTCTGAAGTGACGAAAGCACAGGTGGAATATATATTCTCCATGCACGTCCTCCCTCCGAAGACATGCCGTCTACGGCGTATTCACAAAGCTCGGGCGGTGGGACTACGCTGGCTTGGAGCAACGTACGTTCACGGTTTGATAGCAATTTTGACCGCTGTCCTGCTTCGCAGCTTATCAAGCGCCTTCGCATAATCGGCGACCTTGAATACGTCGGTGACCTGCATGCCCGATCGCCGTTCAGATAGCAGCGAATCAGGGTTTGCCAAGCGGAGTCAGGAAACGCGAGAATTCGATTGGGTGCATGTTGAACAGCGGATGGTCCCCGATGTTCGTGGTCGAGGTCAAGACAGGAACGGTAGTTATGCGCGTTGATTGCCAATGACATGTAATGAAACGGTTAGTTGCGGCTCTTCGGCTGACAACCCGATGGAATACGTGGGCGGAATGGGCACAGTACCGGCGACAAAGTGGGGGGAGCGAGTAGAAAAAGACAGGGCGCGGGAAATAGAAGGTGGTAGAATCCAGGAAGAGGACGATGCTTACCATGCCCTTCACCTTGATCCTACCGCTGTCCAGATACGCGACCGCGCGAGGGAAACAGTGCATCTGTGCGAACGAACCGATAATCTGATGATAGGAAATCCTATGTCAGCTCAACGTCTTCGTGCTATGCAACAGAAGGCCGACTGCGGTCCCCGTGTGGAGCCTGAGGCTTCGACCAGCTGCGGGGGCCTTGGCTGGAGGAGGAGAGAATGCCACTCACGCGGATTTCGTCGACAAAGATCTTTGATGGAGGCCAATGAACGAGAGCGTCATTGCTGTACACGCCGTAGATCATCAACGTCCCACCTCGGCGAACGTAGTTGATCGAGTCCTGAGCGACCCGTTCCATGCCAGTCGCCTCGACCTAGACTGCTGTGAGCCTCCAATTCACTCCCCTCATAAAGCCGCACGACCACTCGCCACAACATCGAACCCATAAGGGTTGTCCTGCTTCAACCGCTTCCATTGTGCCTGCGGGTTCTCTCGATCTAGCTCAATATACTCGGTGCCCGCATCCAGCTCCTTCGCCAGGTCCATCTTGACGCCCTTGTTCGCCGCTACGACGACGCGGTGCGCGCCGTTGAGTTTGAGCATTTGCGCGAGTATGAGGCCGGTGGGTCCTGCACCGATGATGAGGGCATCGACGCCCACGCCTGCATCGAGCTGGTCCATGCCATGTACTGCGCATGCTGCCGGCTCGACGAGAGTCGCTTCCTCATCAGAGAGGTTGTAGATCTTGAAGAGTTTGTTCGCTTTGCTGAGGAATTGTTCTGATCAGAGATGGGGTCGACGGATGGTGGCTGCATGCAACTCACAGCGAGATGTACTCCGCGAACCCTCCCGGTGCGCTGCAACCGATACCGATGTAGTTCTCGCACAGGAGTGGTCGGCCCCGTCGGCAATAGAAGCAGCTGCCGCACTGTGCAGTCGCAAAAGTGAGCGGGCATTTCGCTATCTTGCTTCTACGACGACACGCATACCACCGTGGTGGGGTCGGCGACGCATCGATCGCCCTTACTGAACCCTGTCACGTTTTTTCCAGTCTCCACAACCTCGCCGACGACTTCGTGACCAGGAATGAGCTGATTCGGAACATCGCAAGTCAATAGGAATCCAAGTCGATCGAATGCATTGGCACGACAGACCGGAAACTCTGCAATGAACTCTCCCTCATGAATGTGACTATCGGTACCACAGATCCCTGCGCTCAAGTCGTGAATGGAATGGGGCGGTAAATGATCGGAGAGGTACTCACCGCATGCCTTAACTAGGAAGGGGGACGATGGGATTAGCTTGTGCTCATGTGGTTGGCTTGGAGATGTTCACCGACTTTTCAGGAGGACCTCATCGTCTTCCGCCTGAGGAATCGGTACGTCGCGGACCTCGAATTCACGAGCCTTTGTGCAGACGTGACAGAGACGTGAGACAAGATCTGCTTACTTAGGATGTACACACCTTCGTATACCAGACCGCTTGCATACTTCTGGTGGTAGACGGCATTGTCAAAATACGTCGCAGTCGTGGCCCAAGTCTCTAATCAAGTCGTCCAGGCTATCGGAGTAGCTTTGATATGATCTGTGCGATAACTGCTTAATCCTTGGGCCGGAGACGAAGCTGCCAGGACGTGACGGATGCCGGGCGGCGGCGCGTGGGGAATGTGAGGCCATGACACTATGCGTGAGATGGAGATGCCGGTCGGTCCGCCGCCGATGGCCCCTTGTATTTGCGAAATGATGTCGATGTGTGACACATTTCGGGTTCTTTCTGCGGAACCCCCATGTGCGAAGACAGCTGAGAGATCCGAGGAGTGGTTACCCATAACCGGATGTGCTTTCCGACGATCCGGGCCGGTTTGGTGCCGCAGCTGACCTCGGCGAACTGTTGTAGATCCTACTATATCACCGCAGTGCTGTAGCTGCAGCTGAAAGCACGTCGAAACGCCGAATGAACTGTGGTAGAGAAGTTACTTAGGAGAGGGAATGTCACACCGCAGCTGCCAGATCATGACCAAGGGCAGTTCTTCGAAGGTCACAAGGTCGATACGCTCTTCTGTCTCCCATGTCTGCCGCAGAGACACACTACAGCTCAATAATGATATGCTTAATCGATACATGGAACCTGCAGCATGGCAGACGAAGTGGGTCGGAGTCAAAGATAGGATCCAGATAGAAGAGAAGAGCCGATAGACGCTAATAAAATAACGCGCGTCGCGGTCGCGTTATTTTGATATGTTTGTCCCGAGGACGACGGAAAAGCGCAAGGGGAATTTTGAGAAGTACGCGGAACTCTGCTTCTGCCTTCACGACCTCCTGCAATGACCAAGTACATTCTTGTCTCTGGCGGCGTCGTCAGCGGCATCGGGAAGGGGGTCATCGGTGCGCCACTGGACTCTCCATCTCTACCTCCCATAGAACAAGCGTTCAAGCTATCCTTGCAGCCTCCTCCACGGGCTTGCTCCTCAAGACTACTGGTCTCAAGGTCACAGCCATCAAAATTGACCCTTACATGAATATCGATGCTGGTACCATGCGGCCGCAGGAGCATGGTGAGATGATCGCACGAAACACGCGTGTATCCGACATTCTCTGAGCGCGAAGCCTATGTTAGGCGAGGTCTACGTCTTGAACGATGGCGGCGAGGTGGACCTCGACCTTGGAAACTATGAACGCTACCTGAATGTGACCTTGAGCCGAGATAACAACATCACTACTGGTAAGATCTATCGGGAGGTCATTGAGAAGGAGGTGCGTGCTCAGCTGAAAACGGAAGACTCCTGGCTGAAAGTCCGAGAGTATAGCGTCGTGGAGATTACCTGGGGAAGACTGTGCAGGTATGCCCCAGACTTGTCCAGGAATACTGCAGTTCATCACCTTCGCCCATGCAAAGATTGTTCCTCATGTCACGAACGCAATCCAAGATTGGATAGAGCGCGTCTCGAAGATTCCCGTCGATGAGACTGGCGAGGAGCCTGACGTCTGCATTGTCGAGGTGCGGTCTTGTAGAGGTTTTTGGCGGCATTTGTGTGTCTCATTCCCGAACAGCTGGGTGGGACCGTTGGTGATATCGAGTCCGCGCCATTCGTCGAGGCCATGCGACAGTTCCAGTTCCGTGTCGGATATGAAAACTTTGCCCTCATTCACGTCTCACTGGTCCCCGATATGCACGGTGAGCAGAAGACGAAGCCAACGCAGACTACTGTACACGCACTGCGCGGTCTTGGTCTACTACCCGACTTGGTCAGTAAGACTTCGCTCATTCTGCCGAGAGTGCTCTGACGTTGGTGTAGATCGCTTGTCGACTAATCGTACAAAAACCTCTCGAGCCCGCAACGAAGAGCAAGATTTCCATGTTCTGTCACGTCGCACCAGAACAGGTCGTCGGCGTTCATGACGTCTCTTCGGTGTACCACGTTCCCCTCCTTCTCCAGTCCCAAGGTATCGTCGAATACCTCCAAAAGCGATTAAATCTCGTATCTATCAAAATCACTCCTGAGATGCAAGAGCGGGGCGACTCATTAGCCAAGCGCTGGCGTGAGCTCACGACACGGTACCTGCGAATTACGCTCTGCACGCTTGGCATTTGTTTGACTCGCATCCAGACAAGAACGTCTTTACGAGAGCGTGACGATTGCTCTCGTGGGCAAATACACTGATATGCAGGACTCGTACATGTCCGTTATCAAGTCACTGGAACACTCTGCCTTCCGGTGTAACAGGAAACTGGTCCTCAAGGTTTGAAACGAGTCTCATGCGTGTTTTTCCAAGAATCTAAACAGCTTATCCACAGTGGGTGGATGCTTCCGACCTGGAGCCTGATACCCAGGTCACAAGCCCAGCAAAATACCATGATGCGTGGAAAGCCGTCGTTTCGGCAAAGTCAGTCCCAATTCAGCGCTCTCTTCGGTGGACATCGGTAACTCATTCCCCGTCAGTGGCATCCTCGTTCCCGGTGGCTTTGGCGTGCGCGGCTCAGAAGGCATGATGCTCGCGATCAGGTGGGCACGTGAGAAGAAGATCCCGTTCCTCGGTATCTGCTTCGGCTTCCAGCTCGCCGTCGTTGAGTTTGCGCGCAACGTCTGCGCTCTCGAAGGTAAGTCTCCTTTCCCTGTCTTGTTGCGTCCTCAATTCACCTCCCTGCCTTTGTGTTCGCCGTCCAGGCGCAACGTCGACCGAGTTCGACGAAAAGACCAAACACCCAATCATCATATTCATGCCCGAGATTTCGCGTACACAGATGGGCGGCACGATGCGCCTCGGCCTCCGCCCCACCGTCTTCGAAGCCGACTCGGACGTCGCCGGCGCTCGCCCCTCCGCCGTGCGCAAGCTCTACGGCGGCGCGCCCAAGATCTGGGAGCGCCACCGGCACCGGTACGAGGTCAACCCGGAGTACATCGACCGCCTCGTGGAGAAGGGGCTGCGCTTCGTCGGCAAGAGCGAGAGCGGCGAGCGCATGCAGGTCCTCGAGCTCCCCGACCACCCGTACTTCGTCGGGTTCCAGGCGCACCCCGAGTTCTGCACGCGCCCGCTGAACCCGAGCCCGCCGTTCTTGGGGTTCGTGGCCGCGGCGAGCGGGTCGCATGTGCTCGAGGAGCAGCTGGAGGTGCAGTCGAGAAGCTTCAAGCCGCCGCATCCCGAGGGGGCAATGGTCGCCGAGGAGATCTTGAGGCATGATTCGCCGCGGCCCGCTGGGGAGGAGGCGATTTTGGCTTCGGAGCAATGAAGTTCAGAGGGTATGTCCTGCATGTTGCAGAAGTTCCTTGTACTCTGCCAGGTCTAATTGATTTGCAATACAAATGCTATCACCACCAGTTGTACATCATTGAGGAGGCCAGAGTGTTTACAATTGCACGCAACTGGCTACGTAGCCACGCATGCACGCAGTCGCGCGTTCGCTTGCGCAGTCACAACACAAGCGTGCAGTCGTGTACTCGCAGAGTCGCCGGGTAAGCGACGCTAAGGATCCTATTCTTAGTTCTCAGTGGCCCCTGCAACAAAGTTCTGTCCTTGCGAGTAATTGATTGAATATATTCCAAACGTTCTCTACTATTCATCCCTTTCTCGATGCGCGCAAAAAGAGTCTACTCAAGGGCTTTGCAGGATGTATAGACTTAGGCCTTGCCCTTCGCCGAACTCCTGCCGGAGGGCACTCCAATTGCAACTTACAATTGACGCGCAGTTACACGACTGCGTGGCTGCATACACACAGAGCTTGGCGAGCTTCGCCATCAATCGACTGCGTGAATACGTGGTTACGCAGCCTGCTACGTAGTCAGTTACGTGAAATTGTAAACGTTCTCGAGGAGGCATAGGAGATCGAGTCAAAGTGAGAGCAGGGCACGGGCAAAAGGAAAGATCACGCTCAGAGATTGCCTGCGATGACGGTGAATTATGTGATACAATTGACTCTAATTGCGAGTAACAGGTCGACAGCGCTGCGATACTAGTTACACTGAACGGATGACTGCGAGCAGAATGTTACAAGATGGTGCTTCCCAACTCCGCCCCTCCTCAAAGGACGCACACTCCGACGGATCAGCCGATCGACATAGCGGTATCAACGATGTCTCTAACGTCCGCTGCGGAGGACCCCGCGCCGCCGCCGAGACGTGAAGAGAATATGATGTCCTTCAGAACTTGCGCGATGAGACCGTGCTGAGCTTCTGACGCGATCTTGTCGCTGAAGGTATGACCCAATGAGCGTATGTGAGGCCGAGGAGGAATATCAGTCGCACCTGTCTTTGACCGCCTTCGACAAGGCGCTCTCTTCCCTCTTGTCCTGGGGCTTCTGCTTGATGACGGCTTTCTCATCGATGAGCACAGGGGCTGGTGGACGGGTACTGGGTACAGCGGTTTGTGCCTTGGTCAACTTTTGGTGCAGATCGGACAGCTGATTCGCGGCATATGCACGATTCTGAAGCCGGGAATCAGCATCTCCATGATAACGATGTGGCTCAAAGAGAGGTACGTGCCGAGATGAGCGCACTCTGGCTCAGCGTGTTCACCCAGTACTTGTTCCACAGCAACCCAAGCAGCTCCGCGTCCAGCGACGACTTGAAAATCTGCACCTCGAGCGGGTAGTACTGGTTTGCGTGAACGCCGAAGTCCTCGATCTTGTTGAGCGGGATGCTCTGATACTCGCTGTTCGCAGCGTCCGCAGGGGTGTAGTTCTCGGGGTACGTGCGGAACGCGCCGATGTCGACCTTGCCGGCGGAGATGGTGCGATTGGGGTCGATGACGACGGCCACGAAAGGGTCCTGGAATTTCTGGTTTTGCATTTGCGTGTTCACGTCGATGCCGGAGAGCCAGCAGCCGTAGCCGGGGTGGGAGTGGTACCAGCCGATCGCGTTCTCCAGGCGTTGTACCTGAGGAGTAACTCATATTGGTATGGAGTACAAGACGTGAGAGGAAGGAATGGAACACGTACCCGTTCACTGCCCTGGACGTACTGGACCATGTACTCGTTCGCTTCGTTCTGCGCGTTCACTCGCGTTTCCGTTCCTTGGACGGGAAGCGCGAAGGAGTCAATGACTACTAGGGAGTGTCCAACGACCTTTCCCTGCATAATTCCCATGATCTCGTAGGGTACACCCGAGCGAGCATGAATAGCCTACGAGGATGGGACGGGTGAGCATACGACCAGCTGTGGCGCTAGAAAACAAGGTGCATACCATCTTGATCAACGCGACCGCGGAGATCTTGCAAACCTGAAAGTACCGTGGGCTCACAGACAGTGACTCTTCAGCATCCTGCTCAATCCAACACCGCAGGGTGTATCCAACGGAGGCGTATTAGGGTAGGAGTACTCACTCGCGGACCCATGGCTTCTCGTTGTTTATCCTCCTGTTCTCCACGGGGTCATATCTGAAGATCTCGTCCTGAGCACTGAGCTCCTTGATGTCATTTGCGAGGTTGAATGTCTTGAGAGCGATCCCCGAGCCCGACGCCATGGCTGCTCGGTCCATCCGCCACTGGCGAGTCTATGCAAGACCATATACAGCTTGCGTATATGGCATCCGTGAGAACCTCCTTCCTCTCCCAGCACCCGTGTTCCGTAGGCGCGCCCATGGGTGGGAAGCGAGCGTCATCCGGCGGGCGAGAGCGAGAGGACGGAGCTCGACATGCTCGACGTTGTGAATGTCCGTCCCACGTCTCTCCCGGTCCCTTGCTCGACTGCCTCTCCTTGATGCGGCACATGTGTCTTGCTCTCGCTATAGCGTCACCATCCGAAGTCTAGCTACCGAGGTTCCCTCCAGTGCACTGGACGACTCGCCTTCGTCGTACACTTCCCGCACTCCTGCCGTCGACCAGAGGAAATTGACGCATCTGAAGCGTCGGACTCGGGGCGGTCAGAATCTTACAAAGCGGTTCAAACGTTTGGAGCGCGCAGTCCGCGGGAAGGCTTCCTATGGACGTGATATCCAAGAGCTCGAACGGTCCAGCGCTGTGCCGGACCCTGCACCATACACAGAGGAGGAAAGCACCCAGCAGGCAAGCTCAAGGACAGATACAGGTGCAGGGACCAACACGCGGCGTATATTCCGAGGTTTCTTTGTGCCGGAACCCCCCAAGCCACCTGCAGACGATGGTACGTTCCAGCATTCATCGTTCGTTGGGCACGTCCTCATGCCCTCGCTATTAGAATGCTGCATGTCCGGCTGCGCAGTCTGTGTATACGACCTTTACGATGAAGCTCGACAAGACTATATACAAGCCATTGACACGCTTCGCGCTGAGCTGAGCAAGCAGGGCGTCGAGAAGAGCGAGTGGCCTGCCGACATACGAGGAGACGTGCGGGATAGTGACCCGACTCCTGCACCGAGGTCGAGTGCAAGTGTCACCCTTAGTGCATTCGAACAACTTGAGCTGGCACTCAAAGCGAAGCGTGAGAGGGACACGTCCAGATCAAGCACGAACGTCGCCCAAGTAGGCAGCGAGGGTTAGTATGCGGAGGTCTTCCCAAGCCCTCTAGCTTCTCTGACGCAGATGGGCACGCTCAGTCTCTGCGGCTCCGCTGATCGTCCGTAAACGGCTCACGAAGAAGGGTGTAGGGATGGATGATATCGTCGAGGGCCTTCGGTGGGTGGTGTTTAGTAATCGCTGAAAAGGCGAGTTCTATTGCCTCGTTCTTCAGTCCTCTTCTCATGCCTCTCTGGGTCCATTCAGAATCCCTACTTATTTGTATTGATACCCCACAATGTATTACACATCGCACAACCTCTATAATTGTCTCTATGCTTGTGCACGACTATCGCGAGATAGTCTCAAGCCTTCTCGCTGACCCCTTGCCACGCCAAAGCCTCCCCACTCTGATATCCCGCGCGGCCCATTCGCCAGAACTGCTGTGTTGTCGTGCCTGCGAAGTGTCATCTGCTCGATGTCATGAGACGCAATTGTGGCCTGCCCGAGAATACTCCGGCTCCTGTTCCTTAAGCGAAGGTACATATAGTTCACTATCATGCTACAATCGTTAGTGGAGGTATCCTACAGCCCTTTCGCGCAATTCTATAGCTATGTCAACGAAGTTGCCAAGCGATTTCGTCTGGGGTTACGCTACGGGTACGTCTGCCACACCTTCCGAGTAATATGCTTCCTGATACCATACGACTGTCCACCAGCGAGTTACCAGATCGAAGGATCTGTCGATGTCGACGGACGCCTTCCTTCGATCTGGGACACTTTTTCGCATAGGGAAGGCGCCACGAAAGATGGCGGAAACGGCGATGTCACAACCGATTCGTACCGTCGGTGGAAGGAGGACGTGGCACTCCTGAAACAGTACGGGGTGAAGGCGTACAGATTCTCGGTCTCCTGGAGCAGAGTCATTCCCCTTGGCGGACGAGACGACCCGGTGAATGACGCTGGGATCAAGCATTACAGGGACCTGGTCGAGGAGCTCGTGAGGAACGATATCACACCCTTCGTGGTGAGTGTTGCGCCCTCTGTTTGCGGTGCTCTCAGAACCACCCTAATGTCATGGACGTTTCGCCAAGACGCTTTATCACTGGGACCTGCCTCAAGGTCTCCAGGATCGATATGGCGGCTGGCTCAACAAGGAAGAGATTGTCAAGGACTATGTCAACTATGCGAGATTGCTATTCGAGAGCTACGGCGATCTCGTCAAGAACTGGTTCGTGCACGCATATCCATGTACTTTCCTAACGACGACGCTCACTAACTGCTACGGCAGGATTACTCACAACGAGCCGTGGTGCGTCTCGGTGCTGGGCCATGCCACTGGCGTGTTCGCCCCTGGACACACCGGGAATACGGAGAACTGGATGTGCGTCTACTTTGCCTGCGCATTCTCTGCCGCCATTAATCTGCGTTATGTGCGTAGTGTCGGTCATAACCTAATTCTTGCCCACGCGTATGCTGTCAAGCTATACCGCGAGCAGTATAAGCCGAGTCAAGGCGGTCAGATCGGTATCACCCTCGACTTGCAGTGGCAGCTGCCGTGGGATGACTCGCCGGAGAGTACGTACTGTCCCAGGCCAGTCTCACAAGATCGGCCACACTGAGTACCGCTGAACAGATATGGAGGCAGCACAACGTGGCATTGACTTCAAGCTGGGTAGGTTGTCAATCGATACCTGCTACAGCATCTTCTTAACCACGCCATATCTCAGGTCGATTTGCTGTATGCTTCGCCTCGAACTTTTGACTCCTAAATCTGAACGTGCCTCCCAGGATCCCATCTACAAAGGCTTCTACCCCGACTCGGTGAAAGAACTCATCGGTGATCGCCTGCCGGAGTTCACAGAGGAAGAACTCGCGGTCGTCAAGGGCTCCTCGGACTTCTTCGGACTGAACACGTACACCACGCAGCTCGTTCGTAAGTGACCGTCCCCAGACCAGGTGCAATCGGTTCTTCTCATATGGCTCTCGTAGAGGACGGGGGAGATAACGAAATACAAGGCAACGTCAAGTACACCTTCACTCGACCGGATGGATCGCAGTTGGGCACACAAGGTCTGGGGCCTTCTTCCCATGGATAGATATGGATTCAATGAACTCGAGATGTTGCCGTTTCAGCTCACGTCCCTTGGCTTCAAACATGTGAGTTGTCTCAATCTAATGGTTTCCACAGTAGCTGAACGGACTTTCCTTCCTTCCTGGTAGACCCGGAGGGTTTCCGTTCAGTGAGTGTTTTCGAGGATGCGAGTTACAAGGCAAGTATGTTGACGCTGCGTAGCTTCTCAACTACCTCTGGAAGGTACGTCTTGAGCATCTCGCCCGTGATGTTCTCGATTGATCTTATCGCGTAGACGTACCAACTGCCGATATAGTATGTTGCAAGATTATTCTACTTTGCTGCTGGTGCTCTGACGATTCTCCAAGTGTGACAGAGAATGGCTTTGCAGCCAAGTATGAGAACACGCGCCCCGTAGAAGAAGTCGTCCACGACACAGACCGAATTGAGTATTATGAGGGCTACGCGAATGCTTTGTTGCGGGCGGTGACCGAAGATGGGGTTCCCGTCAAGTCATATTTTGCTTGGAGTGCGTGTTCCTTAGTATCCACTCTGTCTCCAAACGCAGCGTTAACGTGATTGTAGGTCTGCTGGACAACTTCGAGTGGTATGCAATAAGGTTCTATGGACCGAACGAGCCGGATAGCTGACCGTGTCCCGCGGTGCTCGTAGGGCGGATGGGTACGACACACGTTTTGGGGTGACATATGTCGACTACTCGAGTCAGAAGCGAACGCCGAAAGACTCTGCTAAGTTTTTGACGAAGGTGCGTCTAGCGTCTTATTCATACTGCCTGTCTTGCTCTAATGTCATATACTCATCTCCTCGCTCTAGTGGTTCAACGAGCATATTTCGTCTTGACAAATGGGCATAAAGAGGAGGTCTGATTAGGTTGTCTGGTTATAATATGCGAATTGAGTGCTTCTGGTTCGTCAAGGAGGCAACCGAATGGAAGTTCACTACGTACGATGAGCTTTCGGACTGACCTCGATATAACCTCGTGGGCCCAGAATTGCGCAACCGGTGCCGACGAAAGACAGGTCATGAGAGTGTCATTGCGGTCCGGAGCTTTGAGTCACAGGCCCCGGTGCCGAAGCGATGCACACTGGGGTATAGATGCTCTTCCGGCCAGATGAACAACCAACTCCAGCAGCTACCTGGGAATCACGCGGCACACGCTTCGCTACACAGTCTACCAGCCGTCAGGCCGACATATTGTGAGTTATCCAATACTTTTTCACAATCTTCTCTGCCAACAACGCCAACAATCTTCCAAATATGGAAATTCGGACCTCGTTCGCCTTTTCAGCACAACATGTCCACCTCCCGCAAAGCGAACTCTAAGACCAACTCTACGAAGTCTAACAGCACTGGGACTGGTGGTGATCCCAAACCCGGAAATAGGCCCGAACTCGTCGCGACCTCACAGGTCTCGCGCTTTCACAACGAGACCCTCGAGACCCTGTCGAACGATATCGACCTCAAGCAGGTGCACATTGCGATTGGCCCGCGCATCCTGCTCGCCTCCGCTAACCTTCGTCTTTTCCGCGGGGTGCACTATGGGCTCATCGGCCAGAACGGCGTCGGCAAGTCCACGCTTCTCAAGTGCATCGGGTACAACCAGCTCGCGGGCTTCCCATCCAACGTCCGCGTGCTTTACGTCGAGCAGCTCGAAGGCGCCGACATGGGCAAGAGCGTCGTGCGCTACGTGATGGATGCCGATCGGAAGGCTGCGCGCATGCGCTCGGAGCACAGACTCCTGCAGGGCGCTCTGGAGGCGGGCGATCCCGAGGAGATCGCGCGCGCCATGCGCGAGATCCGCCTTGAGAGGGCAAAGGACCACCTCGAGGCTGCGGACAAGACCGCGCTGGAGAGGAGTGGAGCGAGGGGGAAGGAGGCGAGGACTGAGCTCCTCAAGCAGGAGAAGCGCGTGGAGGATATGGTCGTGGCAAACGATGAGGCGCTGACCCCGGAGGAGATCACGCGCGCGACGGTCGAGGCTCAGGAGCTACTGACGGAGCTCTTCGCTGCTATGGAGCTTTACGGGGAGGAGACAGCGGAGGCGAAAGCACGGAGGATCTTGAGGGGCTTGCGCTTCCCTGTGGACTGGCACGACCGCCCCCTAGGAGAGCTTTCCGGAGGGTGGAGGATCCGCGTCGCGTTGGCGTCGGCGTTGCATATCGAACCTGACATCCTGCTTCTGGACGAGCCCACCAACCATCTCGACCTTCCCGCAATCATTTGGCTTCAGGACTACCTGTCCCAGCTCTCCGATACGACCATCGTAGCGGTCTCCCACGATCGCGCATTCCTGAACGCCGTCGTGGACGAGGTTATCGTATACAGAAACCAAGCTCTCACGTACCACACTGGGAACTTTGACGAGTACCTCGAGCATACTGAGGACAAGCAGAAGTACCTGGAGCGCATGGCAGCCGCCCTTGAGCGGAAGAAGAACGCGGCGGAGAAGAGCATCCAGGCGGCAATGGCGCAGGCGCGAAAGAGCGGGGACGACAAGAAGATGGCTCAGATGGCGTCGCGCAACCGCAAGCTGGACCGCATTGGTATGGAGGTCAACGAGAAGGGACACAGGTTCAAGCTCAACCGCGACCGCGCGGGCTACCATACCAGCGTTCGGGACAGCGTCGAGGTTGAGCAGACAGAGCAGCCACCGACCTGGTCCATCCCCGATCCCACACCCCTCCGTCAAGGCGGCGCGATCATTGAGGTCGAACAGGTCAGCGTAGGCTACGCCAAGACCCCGATGGTATCGAACGTCACTCTCAACATTGGCCAAGATGCCCGTATCGCGATTGTCGGCGCGAACGGCAGCGGGAAGACGACGTTCGTGAAGGCCCTTGTCGGAGAGCTAGCACCCATCAGAGGGAAGATCACCCGACACCCTGCCGCAAAGATCGGCTACTTCACGCAACACCATGTCGACGAGCTCCACCAGTACCCTGCCGAGACCTCTGCTCTCTCCCTCATAAAGGAGAGGAATCCGGAGTGCACGGAGCAACAATATCGTGCGCATCTGGGCAAGTACGGGATCAGAGCCAACGCTCTCCAGCCCTTGCGCTCCCTTAGCGGGGGCCAGATGGTTCGCGTCGCGTTCGCTTTGGCGACGTTCGGGTCGTCTCCCCATCTCCTTGTCTTGGATGAGCCGACGAACCACCTCGACTACCTGACGACAGAGGCGCTTTTGGAGGCGTTGAAAGAATACAACGGCGCAGTACTCGTCGTATCCCATGACCAATTCTTTGTCTCCGAGGTAGCTGAGCAGGTTTACGCGGTAAAGAAAGGTCAGTTAGTGTACTTAGAGGGAGGTATGGAGGAGTACGTTAGATCGTGTCGGAAACGCCGTTTAAAGTGACAACTGGATAAGACCATGTACTTTTGAGTTGTTTTGTGATGCCGACTGGTTGATACCTCGCCGAATGCACTAGATAGATATGATTTGCAATGACATACGACCAATTGAAAACGGCGGAAAGCCGCTTTACATTGGTCAGCAGGTTTCATGCCATGAGGAGTGCGCAAATATCATTTTTTCCCGTAGATAACAGAACACTACATCAGGTTGGCCCAGTGCAGATTCGACCACTCCTGTCACACCTGTCACAGGGCCGGTCCCCTGCCCCTCCACCCCAAGTTCGGGGTACTGCTTGTCCAGAATTTAGCTACAGGGTCTGTAGGCCCCTCTCAGCAGCCAAGTTCGGTGTCACTCGCGATACGAAGGGAGGGGAACGCCGCGATGGGCGTCACAAGCTCACGTGATTATCACGTGGTAGTCGAATCTGCGTTGGGCCACCCTCATACGCGGGCGCATCAGCGATCAATGCGTGTCCCGGATCTTGCACTGGCAAGTCGGAGTGCAGCTCCTGCATATCCGACTATCCCAACTTCTTCGCATTCTGGGGCGTGTTCTTCTGCAGGATTTATATTACAGTGCTTTGCAAAAAAGATAGCAGTGCGAAGCGCGCAAATCCTGTTTGCTCCTGTTTGGTCACTCGTCGGCTACGGCAAGGATGTCTGTTTCGGGAACCGGACGCTCATAAGGACTCCGTCCGTAAAAGCCGTGCTTGAGTCCGTGTCCGCTTTCCTACTACAAAAATGCACGAGGATATTCTTTGCCTCCGAATGACGACCTTCTGAATATATCCGGTAGGTTTGTGGCTGGAAAATCGACCATGCTGCAAAGAGGCTTCCGGCATTGCAGGCGTTTCCCCGGGTGGGCAAACAGGGGCAAACAGGATTTTGCGCGCTTCGCACTGCAATCTTTTTTGCAAAGTACTGTATTCGGATTCTTCTTGCTCGTGCACTCGACTCGCATCTGGAGGATGGGTTCAGCCGAGACCTACAGGGAACGTAAAATCAGTACGGCGGACCTTTGCGCCGACACAAGAAACTTGTGTAGTTCCTCTTCGCCTTGCGAACCTCTTCATCGTCGAAAAGACGTTGTCCAACCTCGTTTGGACCACTTGGCGAAACCTCATCCTACCACACAGCGATCGCAGGGTGGTGTCTTGTAGAGATGAATGGCCGAAGCCGTCACAATCGAGAGGAAAGTAAGATGATGTGTCTTGTTGCGAATACGTTGCGCATCTATATAGCACGATCTTAAGGAACTCGCTGGTCAGTAGTTGGTGCAAAATGACTGGAAATGTAGTCGGGGCGCAGGAGACGTACGATATCATGATAACCAAGTGGTTTATATGTCGGTGTCAATTAACCAGGTGGCGCACCATCATCCAGTACACTCCGGTGAGTCAGGCAGACCTCGGTATTTGCTCTAGCATCGCATGCTTGACAAGCACGACCATGGAGTCGGTCGCGTTGCTCAAAGTGATGCCATAGCGTTAGACTGGAGATAAGCGGCCAGGGTCAAGAGAAAGGTTCTATAAGCGGTAGATCGCACTGCAGTCGAGGTTCATGCAAGCTCAGGCGCTCTTCAATGGTTCATCGCGAGGTCGCATTGGTTTATATCGTGCTCAAGTTGGCATTCTGAGGACTTCAAAGTCTGGAGGTGTGCAGTGAGGCTGTCGATAAGGGCGCCTATCTAGGATCGAGCGTCCCCCGTTAGATTTGAGACTCCGACAAAGTCAGCAAACTCTATCTCCACGGCGCTTGAGGGTAGCGGAAGTATCGGGCTAGTCAACGCCAACGCCAACGCTGAACATCAAGGGTAAGCCGGTCCCTCTCTCAAAGTGAGTATCTGTTGCCGTGATACGCACCCTAGTATCCCTACGCTTCCTGTTCATGGGAAATCCTCGCTTCGATCGCCGAATTCGACGCTGGATTGCATCCTTGGGTTCTGGATGAAGGACTCGCGCTTACTCTCGTTACCTCTGCTCTCAGATGCCTTTCCAAGAATACCAGGTCGTTGGCCGTCACTTGCCTACGGAGCATGAGCCCACCCCCAAGATCTACCGCATGCGCATCTTCGCACCCAACGAGGTTGTCGCGAAATCGCGTTTCTGGTACTTCTTGAGGTACGACCCTTATCCATGCTATATGCCGAGTCCCCGCAGGAGTCTGGCATACTCCGTACCTGCGATGCTTACTCTGCTATTAGGCAATTGAAGAAGGTTAAGAAGGCCAGTGGTGAGATCATTGGTGTCAACGTTGTGTGTATTTTTTCCCCCTTGCAGCCGTTCAAGTGGCAGGCGGAGTAGGGTCTAACGGCCGTCCTCGGGACGTGCAATTATAGATTCAGGAGAAGAAGCCCCTCAAGGTCAAGAACTTCGGTATCTGGCTCCGCTATGACTCGCGTTCAGGAACGCACAACATGTACAAGGAATTCCGTGAGCTCAGCCGCGCTGATGCCGTCAAAGCGCTCTACCAAGACATGGCCGCACGCCACCGCGCTCGCTTCCGGTCCATCCACGTACGTCCCCGCTTGCTTCCTAGGTTACAGATTGGAAACCGGCGGTGAGGATCGCTGACTCGTCATTCGGTTAGATCCTCCGCGTCGTAGAGATCGAGAAGACCGACGACGTTCGCCGCCCATACATCAAGCAGCTTTTGGTCCCCAAGCTCAAGTTCCCCCTTCCCCATCGCGTGCAGAAGGTTCGCTCGACCTTCGTCGCACACCGGCCCTCTACTTTCTAAATTGCGTGCGTGTGGCTTCCGGGTGATGGGCGTTGTATGTCAAAAATATCGTCAGCTTGTTATCGCACCGCATCGCTGTCTTACTCTACATGCATATGACGATATGAATGTATGTTGCGCCATGTACGCATTCACTGTCAATATGCATTCTTGCGTTTACAGTGGGCACAAATCTCAACGGCCAATCTCTCAGTCCTGTTCTCTGCAGCGTCTTCTCCTAACTCTCGTACTGTACTCGGTCCAATGGCCAACAGGGGCTTGTGAAGATTTATCGATCGTACAAGCGATATTAGAGGACAACAGCTGGTACATTGACCACGCTAGTGAGAAACAACACACTCGACGTGCTGATTGGTTTCGTACGCCATTCCACCCAGGTGCTGAAAGCACCCGAATTCAGTCGTTTATCGTTCTCGCAAACTACAGCACTTCCCAATCTTACAACGACTTTCAACTCCGCACCGCTTGGAGCTTGAAGGCAGACGCGCCGGAAGACCACTACGGGTAGGAACGCAATCAGTCCGTGTCCAAACGACATCACCATTCCGCACGTACCCAATTTAAAACCTGCGCCCAGTCAAAGTCCCTAGCTCTATCCCGGGACCGCACTTCCCGCATGCGTCCATACGGCACTTTTGACAGGTCTGCCACATGCAACCCTTGAGCAACCAGAGTACCGCCTCGACGCAGGACGAGGTCCTCACAAAGTAATGCTTTGGCATCGTCGCTTCGCATATCTCACACGGCACACCTCCATAGTGGCTCTGCAGCCACATCTTGTGCGCACAGTTGGGCACCAGCTCGAGGCCCGCGAACTTCATTCTCTGCTCCCTCCGTGAGGTCTGCACAGTCTTGACTCGAGCTGAGTTGGGGGCTGCTGGGGAATGTGGAGTACCCGGTACTCGCGACTTGCATATACTCTCGAGCAGCTCTTCCAATCTAGGAAACTGGTTTGACGTAGTTTGAGGCTTAGGGTTAGCGGACATGGTCACTAGGACATAGAAGTCGGGTTGCAAGGACATTCGCCACAAGTCCGAAATTTGCGCAAAGCTTGTATAGCATATGCGAGGACAGACAGCAGATAATGCCATCGCAGGCCAGTAATCAGAATGGTGACACAATGGCGGAATGTAGTGACAAGCAGCTGATCGCTGCTGCGGTAGGCCAGCTGAGAGACCACATTGCGAGTCTCAGTGGATCCCCGTGAACCACGACTGGATTCGGAGGAACGAGTTGCATCTGTCAATTGGAACTCTTGAAAGCACCCCCCACAAGGGGGAGGAACTTTTCAGCTGGTGGCATCCCGTACCATTCGAAGGGCGGGCTGCGATTAAGATACATCTTGAACGACGATACGACATCATTATCATACTGGCATTCCAGTGGTGAGACGACCAGCATCCGGACCATAGCGAAGGGGGATCGTCATAAACATCATGGAGAGAACAGTACTTGGTGTTCAGCAAGCAAGATTGATACTTCTGGGGAATCGCACATCCCATCAGCGTTCCACAACGTACCGTCATGCGCGCACAGGACCTCACGCAAATACTGCACCTAACGCAGCTCAAGAGAGTACCTGGGTATGAAATCATCGGAAGATTGGTCGGACGATGAAACACTCGCACTGACTCCGCGGTTCAACGTGCTCGGCCCAGCAATCGGAGTATTTGGCTCGCTGCCTGCGGCGAAACTCGATGCTGGCCTGGGTCCTCGAGAAGCGACGCGCACGATGACGTAGCGTCGCGGCTCCTCTTCTGTCGTGCCTTCCTGTTCGGAGGAGGGAACAGGGAAGATGCGGAAGGCGCGATGTCGATGTCGGACAATGGATGGGGTGGGGTCCTCGTGAACGCGGGTTGCCCTAGTTGCTCTAGGGGGTTCGGGGATTAAGGGCAATGTGCGCTCTCGACGTATTTGCTCAGGAGTGAAGAACTCCGGTACAGGCACAAGCAGCATCCGGGGTGGCGTTGGTGGACGAATGGGCATGCGATGTTCCCCACGCAGCCGGGCGGGGGCTGGTGGGGGCGTAACAAGCTCGCGCTCCTCGAATTGGGGGCAATCGCATGTTTTCCACCGCGCTCCGCAGTGGTAGCAGAACTCGGTTTTGCAGCGGCACGTCATGTGATAGCACCCAAGACTCAACTCGACCATATTCGAGCAACCAGGACATCGCGCCCATCCGCGATCCTTGGCCAGCGCGATCGCGCTCTGATCCAAGTCGTTTTCGCTGCAGTAGTGCTTAGATCCGGCCTTGATCTCGTTCCTGCACCGAAGGCATGTAGCCGTACCACATCCTGGTACGGGACACCTGCGAGATGCATGACTTCTACGGCCACGGTCCTGCTGCGCGCCTAGGAAACGGCTGCAGGTGGGTTTGGCGCAGTACACGCGATTCTGAACGCTGAATTCCTCGCGCTTCGCCTCAAAAGTCAGCCGCTGCTCGGCGGAAAGATGCCCCAAGACGGAAGCGAGGGGAATGAGTCTCTGGCAACACTTCGGCGGGAAGAGGGATTCGTCCCTGATAGCGGCATCGAGCAACAGGGCCATGCACCCCGTATCGTAGTAATGGCCGCACGGAGCGCGGATTGCCACTCCCTGTATTCGCTCCATGCAAGTGATGCATTCGTGTCTAGACAAGCTGACATTGCATTGTTAGTGGTACTCATACAGGAACGCAGGAAACTCACCGATGCGATACGCTGTCACGAACCCTGATTACAGGAGAAGCGGTTGCATTGAGCAAAACGCGTCTCGATGGGGTGCCTACTTTAACTCGGGATAGCATCCGCCTCGCAACCCCGAGAACGTCGAGTCTCCTGATCATTCGTCCAAGATCTATCCTCGGGCGATTTCTACAGGGAATCGCATCAGTCATCCGTCCCGGATCGCTAGCTGATGCTCGGGCCCTACCGCGGCAATACGGGAGGCATTCGACGTTGCGGACGAAGGTTCATAGGCCGATGCTCTGCCGCGATCCGTTCATGACCCACCTGGGGTCGAACGAGACCGTCGCCGAATGCCCTATGAACGCGCTTTGACGTCGGTCTTCGACCCACAGAAAGAGCACAGACCGCATCAACGTCGGCCGCTCACCTGACTTCTTCATCTTGCAGTCGTAGAGCAAGCGCTCTATCTCCCTGGAAGATATCCAGTGCCCGCACTTCCTCGATAGCGAGGCCCATCGCTATGCGTTGATCCGCCTCCAAGGCCCGCCGGCTGCGACGCCCTTGTCCTCGATTCATGAATGCTTTGTGTGAGAGTTGCGTGCCGCGGGGAAGTGACTCCTAGTATGATGAGGGAGAAGGTCACAGTCGAGGTTCAATAAGGGAGAATGCTGCAGCATGTTATCACCCCATGCATCGCAGTCGCACGTGTGAACCAAGCGGACCCTCTTCTGAACCTAATATAGCTCTTGAATGCAAGGTTCGGGCCAAGGGTCCGATATGGATCTTGCTTCCATCGTGGTGGTCCTCATTTCCGCTGAGTGGCTCTTATCGACGTCTCGGGTGTTCTGAGGAGCGGTGGCAGCAGGTGGTTGAATGATTCCAGGCCAATAGACGCCCATGTATCCTCCTTGGCTGCCGGTGGCGCGCTGCCTACTTTCGTGTGCTTGAACTCAGAGGGTTAACACCGCCAACCTAGTCATAGATGACGGGCCGTTGACAAGTCCGAGGGACACCACGTCTCTGATGAACAGGAATCGCTTCAGTAAAGCACTAAGTAGGTCTAGTCGCTAGCAATGCCCTCCCAGCCGTTGTCGTTAGTCTGCTCAATGTCCTCCCACCGTGGGCAAGAGCAGGTCTTCCATTGCTTCTTGCACAGGTAACAAAACTCCATCTTGCACCGGCACGTCATATGGTAGCACCCCTGGTTCAGCTCGATCATGGTCTCGCAACCAGGACACCTCGCCCATCCAGACCGCTCGCCCAGCTCCAGAGCGTTCACATCCTCCACGTCTTTGTCGCACCGGTGATGCACGCCCTCCTTTACCTCCAGTTTGCACCGCATACACGTCACCGTGCCACATTCAGGGTCAGGACACCTCAGCCGAGGGGCACTCATCGTGAGCCGCGTGCTGTCGTACTGCACGCTGAGGAACCGGCTACAGGAGGCCTTCGCACAGTAAACGCGCCGCTGGGAACCGAACTCCCTCCGCTTATCCTCGAAGCTGGCCAGAGTGGTTGGGGAAAGGTGGTCCCTGACAGAAGCCAGTGGAATTCGCTTGCCGCAGCATGTGGGTGGAAATAGTGCCTCGTCCTTCGAGGCGGCGTCGAAGAGCTGATCGATACATTGCTCGTCGTAGTAGTGGCCGCACGGTGTGCGGATCTCGGCGCCATCAATGCGCTCCATGCACGTGACGCATTCCTTGGCGAGTCTGGTAGTGTTCATCATCAGCACGAGTCTGTCTGCATGAAGCGGTGAGGGGCGCACCGCCTTGACAGTCCCTCTGTGAACCGGCTCATAGCCTTCGTAGGAGATCTCGAGCCAAGCCTAGGTTCGACCTTCAGTCTGTGGATGGCTTGCCGCATGCGCGCCTCCAAAGGAATGGGAGGCAGGGGCCGATTGCGATACTCCTCGGGCGTAAGCCTACATAGACGATAAGTCTATCAGCGGCTTATTCAGAGGCTTGCAGGAGCAACAGTTGACCTATAGCAGTCCTCGTCAAGCATCGTCCAATCGTCGTCATATTCATCTTCATCTCGCCCCGCATTGACAAATGAATGTGGCCGCTGTTGTGTGCGGGTCGCCTGTGTCACTGGCTCAAGGAGGCCTGACCGGTCTTGTGCAGAGAACGCGCGTCGTGGTTGGATGGGGAAGGGTATGCCGGACACTTGGGGTCTCTCCATGGAGTGGGTATCTGGGTATCTGGATGGAGCATGCAGTGTCAACACATATGTAGGCAAGCTGTGTGGGTGGAGCGGTAGCAGGACTCAAACCTAATACTGATACAGCTTTCCGGTGTGATGACAGAACAGCTTTGGTAAGCGCAGCGACTTTATGTCACTTTTACACTGGTGGCCTTAGGCCTAGGATGTTGTACACCGGTCCTCGGTCGCGTTACGACAAGTCCTGCTTGTGTCGTCAGAGAGCTTTATGGCGTAGAATCGCAAGCGGAACGATAGCGACGGCCATCGCGATCGGCTGTTTCCGAACGAAGTGGCGCCCGAAGAACGGTCGCTTGCCACGCCGTTGTAGCATGCTTCGGTCACTGGCTCCGGTGCAAGTCTTGGAGGAATGGCGACCATCGTTGGTGCAGCGAGGATAGTCGACACCATACAAGGGTATTTGCGAGCCCCGGATCAGGGAAGTTCATGATAAGGCTCAGGACCTTGAGACTCTGCCTTGGTATGAAAGATGAGGATATTCAACGGCCCAGTACGTCTTCGACATACCTCGATTTGTAGGTATCGGAGTTTGGTGGTTGCTTGGCAACGTCGGCTCCATACGATCCTCATAGAAATGGGAAGCCCGATCCTCTGTGTGGCGCGGTCCGTGAACACATTGTATGGGGTACCAAACAACAAGTCATAGCATCATACCACTGCTTACCGATAAAGTCCTGGAACTGTGAATCGCTGTCGCATCGAATATATAGGGACGTCAACACGCTATTTGCATGGAAGAGTTGGACGTCCGTCGAGGCCGGTTCAGACAAATGCCGCACAAATGCAGCAACAGTGGGCCTGTTACAACGAAACTTCTTGCCACGCGTAGCGTCGGTGCTCATGACGGGGCAGTGACTTCCGCAGTGCTGGATTGAGGTAGTAAGACATATGATTGGGGATGTGGTATCGGAGACTAGTGACGGTGACCAGACAAACACCACTGTTGCGTATGCTGAGAAGCATACTCAAAGTTTCGGCTTCCTTCCCAACATGCTAATTATATCTAACGCTGGATAGTTTGAACGGAACTCGCTAGTGCTGTCATCGTCAAGAGCACCAAAGGATAAAGCCGATCGTAAGTCGTCATGAGCAGCCACAAGAAAGCAGGTCTCCAGAAACAAACCGGTGAGCCGGAGAATAACAACACGCGTTCGGCGAGTACGAGGGCGGCCATAGATCATAGGTTAAGGGCGTGCGTCACCTGCAACATATATATCAGAAGCTGAAGGCGCGCGTCCGCCCTCGAGCTTCTTGTGCGCGGACCCCGCGAGCAATAATATGTGGATCCACGAAGAAGGGAAAGCATACGCCGACTTCACTCACAGTCTGGAATGACTGCGAGCGAATGGTCTGTGCACGATGTGCGGGAGAAAGGACCTTCGAACTTGACGCAGCCATGGGCGAAAGCGAGGTTGAGGGTGGCCTGGAAGGCGAACTCGTCGCCTGCGGCACAAAGGCGCGGAGAGCTTCGTTCGGAGGCAGAGTGCGCGACCGCGGCCTTATCCGGGCAGGACGCGCGGCAGGTGCCGACTCCTCCGCCCCTCCCCGGCTTGCGTCCCCGCTCCCATTGCCATTCCGCTCCAGCGTCGCGGGCGTCCACAGAGCGAGCTGCGCGGCGATGTTCCCCACATCCTCGAGGGGCTCGAACAGCCGCGCCTCGTGCGCGTCCGCGCCCACCCCGTCGCCCCAGTCCACACAGTTGCACGTCTTCCACAGCGCGCGGCACCGGTAGCAGAACTGCGCGCCGCACACGCACGTCATGTGCGCGCACCCGCCGTGCCGCTCGATGAGCTCCTCGCACGTCGGGCAGCGCACCCAGCCGAGCTGGCTGCCGAGCCGCAGCGTCGCGCGGTGGCCCGGGTCGTGCGAGCACTCGTGCTTGTGCGCGGGGAGCCGCGGGTCGACCCGGGCCTTGCACCGGGCGCAGGTGCGCGTGCCGCAGCCGTGCGCGGGGCAGGCGAGGACGCGGACGGGGACGCGCTTGTCGCGCGGGCCGAGGAAGCGGCTGCAGCGCGGATTGGCGCAGTAGACGCGTTTGGGGGTGTCGTGCTCAGTCTGGCGAGAGGTGTAGGCTGCGCGCTGGGCACGGGTGAGGTACCGGTCGAAGACGTCTTGGGGGATGATCTGACGGCAGCAGCGCGGAGGGAAGGAGGACAGGGTTTGGAGAGAGGTCTCGACGAGGGAGAGAAGACATTCGATGTGGTACTGATGTCCGCATGGAGCAAGAATCGCGTCGTCGTGCATGAGTCCGATACTGGATTGACAAGCCACGCACTGGTACGTTGAGCTGCGGCAATGGTCAACAGAACTGCTCGGCTCTAGCAAAATGGAGTACATACACAGCAACCGAGAAGACAGGGTGCTGCGGTGCTGTAGGTCTTCTAGGTGCGATTCCTGCACGATTTGGAGTTGCAGTGGCATTCGTTGGTGCGATCCCCGTCAAATTCGGGAAGATGCTGGCGGTACTGGCGTACTGCAGGGTGGGGCTGAATCGTCGCCGCAGACTCCGCATGCTGATGTCGAGTCTGAGGGAAGAGTGTCATGAATGGCAAGCAATGGGTGAACGCACCTTGTACGCCAGACCAAACCAGCCCTCCTCCACGCAGAGGAACCAATCCGCCGCGGCGCCCCAGCACTCCAACGTCCTAGGGCAAAAAACCTGGCAGGGAAGGACAGAAGCTTGTGGTCGAAGTCGGGGATTGACTGCAGCGAAACGACAGTCACGCTGTCCCAGTCGACCTCACTTGCAGATAGGACAGTGGGCTCATCCCTGAAGGTCAACCCTAGTGCGTTGTCATACTCCATGGCACAGAGAGAGTGGATTGTCAAGGAAGAGCCCTCGTAGACGGGCAAGAGTGTATAGGGAGCATTGCATATGAAGGAGGGGGAACCGAGGGGAAGAGGTCAACCCCGCGTGCAACGTGTAGCGGCAGTGCGGCACGGAAACAACGACCTATGCGAGGCTGCTGCTCCAAGACAGACACACATAATAGGTCTCGGGCGTTATGAAACGGCGCAGACATAAGCTCGCAGAAGAAGATTGCAGGACGATCGCCGACGTTTCTCATGTGAAATCAAGCGTCACCACCAGCGTCCACTGAGCTCTCATCGCGTCTTCGCCAGGTTGCACGGACTATAGCCACAACAGAAAGAGTAGGAAACAGTCGAGACACAGGAGGGAGTAGAGTGGCAGGAGAGCTGCACGCGCGAGCCTTGCACAGAGGATCCGTCGGGTGGGGCCGCGGAATGAAGAAGCCTGGGACAATCGGCGCACCTAGGGCTCGGTATTCCGGATTGAGGAATGGCTTCGAAGGGAGAAGCAGTGTGAAGGACTCTGGTGCCGCAACACTTCACTGACTGCCAGTGAAGTATTCCGTAGAGGAGGGATCCGCACGACCCGATGATATTGGCACTGTGGCAGCTTGCAGACAAGCCAGCGGAAAGAAGGCGGATATCTAATCGTTCGAAAAGCGTGGCCCGACATAATCAAGGTGTCCGGGATAGCCTAGTTGAACGAGCGCGACGTAGACGTCGTAATGCGCAGGTAACGATAGACGCGAGGCATGACATGAACGTTGCTGCGCATGTCGGTGTTGCCTTCAACGTTCATGTATTCACGCACATCTGCAGGAACTGGAGACGTTAGCATGAGGCTCGCGCGACAAGAGCGCGAATAATAGCCACCTTGTACATGCATGGCCCGACGTACAAGCCCATCGTACTGAGACCGTTGACGGCTCCACAACCGGTGCGTCTTCCTGCGTCTCTCGTCGCGCCCGAATGTGCCAGGCAGCAGACATGGTCGACCTATAAATTTAGAGTCGGACGAGCATGCGTCCACACGAGAGACATCGAATGCCTGACAGGCGGCCGCCGGCCGGAAACGCGAAGACCGTGATGCGCCGCCGTTTGGCCGGGAGGCCTCCCGGCCTGGCCGAGTCGTCTCAGGCCGGGCACAAGTCCCCAAACCCATCCGGTTGCCCTTCGCCTCGACCACACCCCTCACGCCCACACGGCTTCTCCCCTCGTCGTCCTGCCACGCGTCCCGCTCTCCTCCTGTCCGCCATGAAGTTCTCTGCCCCCGCTTTCTCTGCTACTCTCTTTGCTCTCGCCAGCGGTGTCACCGCTCAGCTTACGATCCTCTCGCCTGGAGGACCCGACCTTTGGTGGGGTATGTCTTCGAATCCCACTCTAAAACCCATCATACAATCTGGCTCACCTCGTCGTGCTTCCCAGTCGCTCAGTCTGACAATGACATCACCTGGACGTGCAAGACTTCCCCCTACACGAATTTCACCGTTCTGTAAGCCCAGGGCTTTCGATATCTTCTGACAGTATACTCATTCGTCCGTTAGGATCGCCAACTCGGACCCAACGGTTCTCGTGCAACCCCAAGCGTTTATCGCCCAACAAAACAATTTCGACTGCTCCGAGCTCATCACAAAGGACAGGGTCAACATGCCGCCCGCAACCGGCTACACGATTCAGCTCGCTGACCCCTTCAACGAAACCAACGTGAGTCCTCCTCCCAAACTCTTGTTCTTTCTTTCCGTGTGAGCCTCTCGCACGCCTCCCACATTGTCTACCCCGGGGATTTGCGTCCAGCGCGATCGCCGCTGTTTCTCCGCCCTCAAAGTTTTCTCTCCTCACTCGGGCACCCCCGCCTCACGCATGATCCTGCACCATCCCTCATGAGCTATGTCCACTTACAACTCCCGCTTTCAAGGTCTACGCCACGTCGCAGCCCTTCGAAATCAAGCCTCTCGGTTCCGTCTACCCCGCCTCCTCCGCGACGCCGACAGCCACTGGTAGCGCCACCGGGTCAGCCTCAGGCTCTGCGACTGAGACCAAGGCCGGCGCCGCCGCCGCGTCGAGTTCCGCCTCGGGGTCGAACGGTGCTGCTGGCCTCGTCGCTCCCGGCAGTCTCGCTGCCGCCGCCATCGCTGCCCTCGGCCTCATGTTCGCTTGAGCATGAGTGCATATAAATCCTCTTTCCCTGCTACCAGCGTACCAGCGTCAGGTTGGCTGCAGGTGCAAGAGGACTTCGGTCTTGTAAGCCTCCTTGAGCTTGCCGGTTCCCCACTACCTCGCTCTGAACAGTATCGAAAGTGCTTGATCAGGGATGCTTTATCGTATCTTGGACGTATCTGGACGTTTTCCTCTGCTGTTGTGGGCTTCCTGATGTATACCTCACCGTCGTTTAGTAATATCGCTCGTTTTCCTCGCTACAAGTCAATTCTGCGTGCCAGCAAACGTTGCCCAGCTCGATATCCGTGAGGAAGTTGCTGCTTCTGGAACAAAAAGAAAAACGGTGACATCAGTGCTTCCTGGTTGCTACGTGGGACGTAAGCGATTTCCTTAGACCAAAACTGTCCCTAGCCGGATTCGAGCCGGCGTCTTCACGGAATTGTGTGACCACAACGTGATGATCTAACCACTAATCGATAGGGACTTGTTAGATGCAGATTACAAGCAGTATATATAGCGTTAGAGAGGGCTATACCAACATGATGTCCTACGAGCTCTGCGCGAACACGGGTATCGTTGAGAATATAACTACATGGTTCAAGATGTACATTCAGGAGCGACCCGTGCAAGGGGATACTATAAGAGCTCTCAGACCACCCGTCAATCACACTACGAAGGGAGTCCACCTGGATAAGCACAGTGCCTGCAATAACCCTTAGTCGTTAGTCGTGATACTCCCTCCTCCCGACGATGGGCTTCCCGATCTCCACTCCTCCGCGCCCCTGCAACGGCACCCTCAGGTGCCCGCTCTCGTCCTCGCGGCCCCCACGGTAGTCCGCGAGCTCGTACACCTCCTCGATGTACCCGCCGTCGCGCGCGCTGTGCAGGTCGCGCACGTACGCGGACTCGCGGTGGAGGCGGGACCCCTCGGGGTCCCAGCCCGTCGAGAGCAGGTGCGGCATGGAGATGCGGGACGTGAACATGAGTGTGGTGGAGTTGGAGGAGGAGGAGGCGGTGTCGCCCGTGCGCGTCGTGACGAGCTCGTTGCGCGCGAAGGCGGAGGAGTGCAGGTTGAGCATGAGCCGGGACATCATCGTCACGGAGATGCTGCTCGCGGCCGTGGAGAGGCATCCGCGGAGCAGGGGCTGAGGGGGATAGGGTGGGAGCCCGAGGGAGAAGACACGGGAGAATTCACCGAATAGGAGAGGGGGATGTCAATTTGGTTGGGCTGTGCGTGAGGTCGGGGAGCCCGGCGGTGGCGCGAAGAACTCACCTCGAGGAACTGGTGGAGAAAGAGCGTGTGAACGGTCGAATATCGATCACGGCGGAATTCGTTGGGACGGACTTACGTAGAAGGTTAATGTGTTCGCCAGATTTGCTGACGCCATCACCCTGCGGGTGGGAAAGGTTAGTCGGAAGGACGGCGCCGTGGCTCACGTTGTGGGACGAACGTACGCGAAGTATAAAGTACCTGAGCGGCGGACATTCGTGAGTACAATACCGCGTGGTGGGCAACGGTGGATGAAGGCGCATACCATCTCTCATAACAAGGGATACGATATCACGCTTTCCCGAGGCAACAGGGTTACGACGTCGTTCCCGGAGGGTTTTAAAAAGCGTTAGGGAGAAGATCGTGCAGTCAAAGAGGAAGAGAGATTCCCATGCGACGGCAGTGCCTATAATTCGATGCCTCAATATGCGAGCGCACATGTAGTGAGAAGGAGCACTCACGGATCGCGCTACGGTAATGAGCAATGGCGGCGGAGTTAGAAGTACTGCAAAAGATGCGTTAAGTACAGACGCTTACGTTATACGGTCCGCGGCTGTATGGCATCCCCCTCGAAGTTCAACATCCTCGTGTTGACCGATCACAGCCCACTTTGTCGGCACTATAAGATATATTGGTATGACATGTGGAGATGCAAGATAGCTCACCACCGAGATGCCCAACAATGAGAACGAGAACCCTAGGACGGAGCCACCGACGCGCCAAGATCGCCCGTAGAGCGCGAAGGTTCTCAGGAAGAGAATATCTGTCAAGATCAAAGTGACAGAAAATGACCGCAGTAAGTGATCGACGATCGATACTTGTCAACGTGATAAATACTCACAGCAGACAACGACCTGATTCACGATCAGGAGAACTTGACGGAAAAACGCATAATGCCTGCAACTGGAGGGCGAAGAAGGGAAGATTCACACATGCGCTCAATGAGAGTATGCTTTTGACTCACCCCTGAGCAAAGTAATAAGTCTGAGGATTGTAGCTCGCAGCGTGCATTATCGGGAGGACTCACTGCTTCTGTTGGGAACTCATGGAAGTTGCCCCAATTCACCACCATGTCCTGAAAGAACGAGCGACATTTCGATAGGCGTGTCGGCTATATACACAGCAACCAGGAAACATACGGCAAATACAGGGAGATATCGGTTGAGGAAGAACAGACCAGAGGCGACTGTCTTGCGGTTCTTCCATATCCTCCAGTACTCGTCTCCAAACGTGAGGAGGAAGTCATAGTACAAGATAGCTTGACGGAGCGACCGCTAGTCAGCCGCCTGACCTGGAGGCTCTTGGGCGGTCTGGTATGACGTACCAACACCAACGAGATGCAAGTAGTTATGGATGTATCTGCCAATACGTCACGAAGCCACCGTCAGTCGGATGCACGATTAGGCGACACCATTCAGGCGGGCACTCACACTGGCTCGGGGACAAAGTGACCGCTCATTGACGGTATGTACAGTGGGTCGTAAGGAATGGATGACTAGCGGAGCGTATTCATAAAGCAGCAGCGGGTAAGAGCATGGAGGACAACCCCAGTGCAAGACGGGGCTGGGATGGGGGAGACGGGGAAAGAGGAGCGAGGAGATGCATGCCGGGTATAAGGCCGAGCAGATTTTGCATTCAAGTTACTGTACTGCATTCGCGTAGATGGTCAGAACCAGAGCGTCGGATTCGCGAGCCACACGGCTGGAGGCGGCTGAGTGCCTGACGTTCTGGAGAGAAACGTTGTGCCGGGGCCATGTGCACCGAGGCTGCCCGCCCACCACCGCCTGCCAAGAGCCTATCAACGCGCCCCCATCTCGCGCTGTCACTCTCCTTGCCCATCGCGCTCGCGTCGCTCGCCCATCAGATTATTCTTCAATCCGAGCCCAACATCGTGCGAGGGCTTTGTGCCCAACAACCTAGAACCTATCATCCCTTCCGCAGTCCTTACATCTGCAGGACTGGCCGCTCCGCTCGGCGTGAGTTCAGGATGCAATCACCTGCATCTAATCCACCCGCGTACCCAGGCCTCATCAGCTCCTCAGGGCCTTAACGGAGCCCGTCATCAGCCATGTCCGTGGCTTCCGCTCCCCACTCCAGCAAGAAGCCCTCACCGTTTGCGACTCGCGATGGAGCCTTTTTCAGTTCGAATGCCCCCGTGCCTAGGCGTGTCATGTTGTGGGGCCACAGCGCTGCAGAGGAACATTAGAGGTATTGCACAGTTGATTTGATTTTCTGACCACCGACGGCCGTTCAAAGTGTTCGGTTCAAACCAGAAGCAGCTCAAGCGCTCAAGCTCTCAAGCTAGAGCAGCGTGTCACATCCACCGGATGTCTTGGCTGCCCCTACAATCCTCAATCAATTGACAATGACCACCAGTGCCTTCTGTTTTCGGCATGTGGTTTTCTGGTCGCGATGTGTCGCTGTTCCCGGAAAAGAATGTCCAGCCTCGAGGATCGTCTCCTGGTTGCGTTCGCGCGATGCTGCGCACAAGCTATTTTGAAGGAGCGCATTGCACTTTGTCTCATGCCGAGGGGACCAGAATATACTGCTCTACCTATAGTTCTAAGTGGCATCGATCGTCCCAGTCGTCGGCGGTATCCCTACTCCGATCCTGAAGTACTCCGCAGCTGATGAATGTGACCTCGGTTCATACACCGTGCTCGGGCTCCCAGTCTTCATACTGTCCATGGCAACTCAATTTATTATGCGAGTCCTTCCAAGGACTGTGGGCGCGAGAAAAGCCAGAGGACAATTGTTGTAACAATATCTTGCGAGATAGTCGCGACATCGCCAGATCGCCATCATATGCATGGCATACTGATATCGGACGCCACCGCTTCAATAGGGGTGATCTAATTGCACGCTGGACGACGTTTCTATAGCCCCTTCTACACTGCTAGACAGGTGGTGGTGGCAGGCCAGTGGAATTCCTGGGATTGTAGAGATCCAGTGCGTTTTCTTGTGGATTTCCAGTCCTCAACAAAATATGTGGGATTCCAGCGGAAGGTCCGCTGGATCTCCAGTTGCTCATCACGTGACCTCGGCATGGCGTGATCCGAGAGAACCTCGACGACGAGTGTAGCTCGAACTTCGAACTTCGAAGTGTTGTCTCTCCTGGTCTCCTTGTCTGCAGCACCCTAGCACTCCCTTACCCACCATCCTCCCCTGTGAGCGATCTGCCCATAACAATTTGCACAATTCCCGTCTCGTTTGCACTTGTCGCCTTATTGCCTTTCCTTTTGACTTTCCCTACTCAACAGACCCATTGATCATCTCCCTCGGTGAAAATTTCCTGTCAGCGAGAGGTGAGTGTGCTCTGTTTTCTGACGTCCAGCTGTTCCGTCCCTCCTATCATCCACCATTAGGAATGCTCTAGAGTATCCTAACAGGTTTCAAACAACTTAACAATTCCATGTAGTGTACTATGTCATAGCGTAATTTGCACCTAGTCGCTAGACGTTGTAGTCATAGAACCTGCCGCTGGCAACTATGCTCCATAGTTATCTACACGTTGTCCTCGCAAGCTAATGATATGCTTACTTCTTACACTGGGACGCTGTGAGCCTGAATGCCCAGACAATTCAACACGTCGTCGACCGTGTGCCCCCTGTATGCCCCCCCCCCCCGATTGTGCATAGTTGCCACGTAATCTCAATGACTGGCTGGATTGTGAAATCCCACCTATTTTGTTGAGTACTGGAATGCCACCGGATTCCACCTGGAATTCCACAATCATGTCCGCCACTGGCCTGCCACCACCTTTTGTCTAGCAGTGTATATAGCCCAAGGCAGACGTAGTTCGTGCCGAACCAAGTGGCAGCCCGAGGATACGTGCATAGGCACCCCTGGAGGTAACAGTGTTGAACGAACGACTTTCCGAGGAGCAATCCTGCATATAGAGACGATCATTTCCAAAACTTGCGCGGTTCCTAGTGGAAAGCAGATCCAGTCACTTTGTCTTTGACATTTGTGGTTATGTAGAATGTTGAAGAGCGCAACATGGCCGGGCACTAAAGGCAGACGTGGAATAATATATAGCTGAGAAAGGCAGAATTGCAGTACCAGAATCGTGTTCGAGGTCGCCTTGCAACACCAAAGGGGGATGGTCAGTGTACAGGTCGGTTCTGATGCGACTCCCAGAAGTGAGAATCGCTTCAGGATCGGTCTTAGAACCGCCTCAGCCTGATCGTGCACTCTGACCACCCCCAACTGCACCAAGCGTCACCTGGTCACGTAACCCACAAATTCGTTGGCGCTCCTGTTGGATTGGTGGAAGGGGACTTCTTCGAAGGGTGGTGCATTTGAGATGAGAGACACCACCGCCGGCCCAGCCGGTAATACGTAGCATTGTGGTGGCAGATGCTCACCGCATGGTTCATGTCCTTCGCCAGCCTTGTCCTCTCATTGACACTGAAAGTCGGCCCCGCCTTCCCAAGAATACTCGCGGACACAGCAGTCTCTATTGGAGTCGAAAACGTTGCAAGGGGCAACGCGGTGAGAGTTGGGCGGAGTAAGACGGGTCGAAGAAAGGAGATAGATGTCATCGCCATGAACTCAACCCCACCTAAAGGTCGAGACCTTCTAGAACGTGCCCACCGGAGAACCCTATAGCATCGACGAGGCGCTCATGCTGTAACTTCACTGGTGCTCACTTAGTCAGGCTGAACCTTGTGGTACAGAGTGGCTTGGCGCAAAACGTCGTGGTCCTCACCATCGAATTCGAGATACCATTGTATAATGGGGAGGCCGCAGATCGACGCGCGTGCTCTCTTCAGATTGACATGATCCTTGTCAGTAATTTTGGAGGTCAGATCTGGATGCGTGATCGCCACCTATGAGGAGCAACAGTCAATGCCTGACAGACCAGCGAGCGCGACGGGCGTGGAAGGCGGAACGCTGCAGACGTGCCCACCCCAGCTTCGGAGGAGTCGTCGAGACACAGTGCGGAATGGATGGGGCCAGAAAACGCATGAGAGGCAGATCGAGTGGATCTTGAACTTTGCGCCGAGCCTGAACGAGCAGCTTCTGGTCTCCTAGCGGCATGGACGCCTGACGAAGAGCGCGAGGGACGTACGCTGGGGTCGGGGCGAGGACCGGCCGGAGCAAGTGACACGAAGAGGGGAAGCAGCGCCAAGCCGTTCCTCAAACTGCTGCATTTGGAGCACGCGGGGTCGCTACTTCGCTCTGAAAGGGAGGAGGAACGAGGGTAAACATGAGTCTCCCCCACAATGAAACATCCGATGTTCGACGTTCAACTTCGCAGACAGTAAACAGGTCCGATACTCGGCGAAAAATTGCGCACCAACATCGCCGATTGCACTCATCCTTTGTGCGGGCAGGAGTGGTGTGTGTCACACGAGCCACCCTCAGTCAGATCTCCTTGCCCCCGTAGAATAGCATGAATGCCGAGCGGAGAGAGCGTGGAAGGTGCGAAGCGGCGCCGCCGGATAGAGGGAAGTGTTGTTGAGGCCCTAAGAAGCACCATACCGAAGCGCCTCGAGCCTTCCATGCAGATTATTAGTACCAAACACTGACTTCAAGCACTTCTTCCATGAACCTTCTCGCCATGAGGGCGTGACTCTTCGCACACTCTTCATAGATGCTAGAGCGGTGGCACAGCTATGTGGATGAAGTGGGACAGACATGGGGTTTTTGACATTGAGCGGCCAACGAATGTGAGCCAATATTCCGAGGGTCTCGGGGCGCTGCGGTCCAGTGTTGAGCACGATTCGGACGACGTGTATGGGCTCTGTGGCTATGATAGAGAGGGGTGAGCCTGAAGACATCCTGTGCGAGTATGTGCGCGGCCCTTCGAAAGTCATGGTTGTGGCTCAGGCCACGCCTGACATGAAGTCATGAGAAAGGAAGCATGCCGGCACAAGCGGCTTCCCTATGATCCATAAGACGTCCGTGAGTGCAGCGGATCTTCCGTATTTGTCCGCGGAAACATTTCACCAAAGGGACGAGCCGATCGGCGTGCCGTAGAAGAAAGGTAGAAGGAGCTAGGCCTCGAATCCGACTACGCAGGGTGATTCAGCTGGACTGCTGAGTGCATAGACAGCCGCCGGCGATACGACCAGACAGAGTTTGTCCAAGGGTGGCCCGGACGAGAGAATTTCGGGTTACCGGAAGATATACGTGATCCAGGACAAGGGGCACGTTCAAGGGCACCGCTCATGGACTCATAGACTGGAAGGCCAGTTCCGCACCTGCACAGGATCAATCAGCAGAAGATGCTTCGACAGTTTTATCAGCGCACCTCTTCGTTACCGAGGTCGCATTTTTCGAAGCTCCGGGTGTAGCTGGGCTTGCAGAGCTGAAAACTTTGCCCTTTTATGTCGGGAGTAGAGCTAGATCGAGTCCGGAGTTTCGCTGCTCAGGATGCGTGCTATCCGACGATAGCGCGATAACCGCGCATTAATGCATATGCGTCATGCTCTGCCTGCACATTCTGCTGAGAATGATGGCAATGCATGTTCGGAGACCAGAAGAACGCATGGCTATGGCCGGGTGCCAGTGAGCACCCAAGGGAAGTACTTGGGCGACTTGCGAGCGCGGGCAAAGTCACCGATTGTGACCGATTGTCACGGCGGTTAGATTATCGAATCGGGGAGATCTGTGCTGATGATGACCATGATCGGCAATTTCCTGCCCCACCCATAAGAGAGCTGCGCTCGTCTGCAGTTCCATACACTCACTCCTCCTTTCTTCTCTCACCTTCGTCACCATGTCCAACGTCTTCGTAAGTCTCCGTCTCGGCCGCCCAGTACTTTTCCTCGCGCTAAACGCTGTCAACTGACTTATCGTCTTACCCCTCAACTGCCCCTCCCTCCCTGGCGCGTCTTTTACGTACACGCTTGTTCGCACTCGGGACGGCGGCGGGGGGCGCATAGTTCGACATCACGATCAACGACCAGCCCGCGGGCCGCATCGTCTTCAAGCTCTACGACGACGTTGTTCCGAAGACCGCCCGTAATTTCCGCGAGCTCGCCACCGGCATCCACGGTTTTGGTTACAAGGGCTCCGCTTTCCACCGTATCATTCCAAACTTCATGCTCCAGGGTGGTGACTTCACCCGCGGTAACGGTACCGGTGGAAAGTCGATTTACGGCGAGAAGTTCGCAGGTTAGTGGATCCCTTGTCTCACACGCTCCACGTAGTGTGGAGCAGGAGCTGATTTTTCCACTGCTGCGTTACCCAGACGAGAACTTCCAGCTTAAGCACACGAAGCCTGGTATCCTCTCCATGGCTAACGCCGGCAAGAACACGAACGGCTCGCAATTCTTCATCACCACTGTCGTCACGTCCTGGCTCGACGGTGCCCACGTCGTCTTCGGTGCGTCGTATATGCGTTTCCGATAGATTGCATGAAACTGAAGGACCGCATGAATGCAGGTGAGGTCGTCGAGGGCCTTGAGATCGTGAAGAAGGTCGAGTCTCTCGGCTCGGCATCAGGTACCCCCAAGGCCCGCATCGTCATCGCCAACAGCGGTACCGTCTGATTTTGCGGCAAGTTGTCTGAACATCTGCCTTAGAAGGTGGAACGTACGTACGCGCACACTCGGGTCCTCGCAGGGGCTAGAAAGAAAGAAGCAGAAGAAAATCATCCTTGTATTTACACTATACGCAATGCACGAGCGATAACGTCACGATATTGCTATCGATCGTTGCCATAGGACGAGGTTGTGCTCTGTACAAGTCTGTGGCATGGGCGGTGTGGCAAGTATTGCGCGCTCAGCCGGTCCGCGGTGCGCACCCAGCGTTCGGCGGTGCATGTGGCCTCAACCATGTGGCATCTCGTTGCCGTGCAAGGGAACGACTTTGGATTGTTGCGACGCGGTACAAAGTATGTTCCTCCCTATGGCATGTTTATGGAGGTATAACAGTACATTTATTGTACTCTCAGGTTTTGCTGCGTATTTATACTGTTGTTTGTGGATTTCACCTTAGCGAGTATATTTGTCTAGGAAGTAGGCTAGATACCTTCTGGGAGTTGACACTGGAAGCACGACTGCAGTTTGACTCCGGTGTCGGGTAGATCGGACTGGATTGATCCGGATCCCTAGCAACTGATCTAAGCGATTCAGCGCCCCGGGCATCCTCCTCATCGTGTACCTTTATCGGGTGTTGTCTCCCTTAGCATGCCTTATGAATGAATTCTCTGTGTTATTAGATGCCTTTATCACTATGAATGCATATATCTCCGCCGATGTCATCGACAGGAGAGGTTGACTGACTTCGAGATGAATGCCAAGCGCTGGCCGAGAATAGCCGAGCATATCAGTTCATTTGCCGCCATCAAACCTCAGTGCAATCGAATACAACACCTAGATCTTACGTCGTGCTTCTGCTCATGCTTACCGAGAAACCAGCAATCGAGTTTGAAGCAAGGACTAGGGCCTCAATATAACAACATATGAGATAAGCGTACAGTAACACTGAATATCCTCGAAGCTCGAAGTTCAGAACCGGGTTAATCTAGACGCTGGGACCTGAAAAATAGCACCAAACACGATCACGGACTTGAACGTACGCACGGCACGCGACCTTGCCCACCTATTTTTTGTACAGATGCACCGTCATACATGTTCCGCCGCTGCCGAAAAGGTTGCATGGCCTAATGATGTTGCCTCATTACTTCGTGTATCTCTGTCCACCATTGTATCTTTTCAGGAACTGGAATTGCTCAAGCGCAAGGCCAGGTACCTTCCATTCTAAGCATGTCACCTGCTTAGAATAGCCGGAGTCGCCATCGTTGCGTGAGATTGCAGAGCAAGTGCGCCTCTCCCCGTTTGTTGACGCAGCATTAATCCCAGGCGCGACCCTAGCACAGGCACTTATGCTGCTTACCGCCTGCTACTAGCGGCATCTCATCCACATGCTGACATATGAACTCCGGCCGACCCCGAATTAGGTACCCTTGTCGCCAACCAGCAGCAGTCCGCCGGTTCTCTTGAAGTACTCACGGGCACATCACAACCACCACGACTATCCCGAGCCGCTCAGGTGTGTGTTCTGTTATGACCGAACGCAAAGTGGCGTACTGAGCGTGCTGACGGCCCGGGGGTATGCAGTTCCGCATAGGCGGTGCAATATCTGGGCCGGGCAGGGAGACATATCAACCTGAGTTCCCAGTACCGTCCGAGAACACCCTCGACATTGTTATTGGACGGTCTTAGCAATCGGATACAGAGGCCAGATAACGTCTTGGTTATCAGTTTCCCCAATCAATGTCTCGACGAATCCACTTGGAGGCGGGATCTTCGCAGCTTCCGGAACGCGAACCTCTGCTAAGTTCGGACGACGAGAACGGCGGCATAACGAAGAAGACGTATGCGTCCGTAGACGTACAAGCCGTCGCGCTCATAGAAGATGAAGCATTACTGATAGATGGTAAGTTTGCTCTCACTATTGGTGGGCGCGGCAGCGTCATTCATGTCCTCTATCAATAAGCCGATGAATCTCCGCGCAAGCGTCAGCTAGGTGCGTGTTTGCTCTCTTGTCAAGGAACGGTCTAACGCAGAACGTTTATTGCGATGATACACAGGTCCTACTAGCGCAGCTTCGTTGATATTCAACAGAGTCATCGGGACAGGGTACATGCGCCATGATTGATAGTCTGCCAGCAATGCTTATGGTTTATGGCAGCATTTTCGCAACTTCGAGCGTCATCCTCCGCTCGTCGGGGAGCGTTGGGCTATCGCTAATCATGTGGCTCCTCGGCGCGACCGTTGCCCTGTGTGGGACGGCGGTGTACATGGAACTTGGAACGGTGAGTAGCTTTTGTTGAGACGACCGATGCAAGAAGTTGACATAGTTTCGTCAGGCGCTTCCCAAGAATGGAGGCGAGAAGAACTACCTTGAATTCATCTTCAGGCGGCCAAAGCTTCTAGTTACCTGCATATATGCGTTGTATGCAGTGCTTACGGTACGCTTTATGCTTTTCCCAGTCTCACGATAGCTGACCCTGTCGTGTCCCAGGGCTGGCAAGCTGCTTCCTGTTCCGTATTCGGAGAATGTGAGGGCAGCGCGTCAGATCTACCCTTCACTTACTGACATGTCGCTGCGTGCCCAGACACTCTGCATGCCCTCGACCCCACTGGAACGCCGTCTCCAAGCGTCGCCCGTGCTGCCGGGGTGTTGTGCATCACATTCGCCCTCCTCTTGCACGGAACGGCGCTCAAGGCGGGCCTGCGTCTGCAGAACGTGCTGGGCATCTTCAAACTGCTGGTCCTCACAGCGATCGCCCTGAGCGGTCTCGCTTCTCTACTCCGCATCCCCGGATTTAAGCTGGAGAACGTGAGTGGGGTGACCGGTGTGCTCGGTACAGGTACATAGCTCAGCCCACACGTAGCCTCCGAAGAACTTCGAATGGTCCACGATGTGGGATGGGAGCCTCAGCGGCGGCGCGAATGCGTTCGTGACGGGACTCTTCAATGTGATCTGGTGCGTGCATCGCATTCCACCTCACGAATAGAGCAGACAGATCATAGCTGTGCAATCACATGCAGGTGCTTCATCGGATATTCGAACGCGAACTACGCCCTCGCCGAGATCCAGGATCCGGTCAGGACGATGAAACGCGCCGCTCCTTTGGCCATGCTCTCCGTCACGCTGGTCTATATGCTTGTCAACGTCGCATACTACGCGGTCGTCGATAAGGCAGAGATCGTCGGAAGTGGACGGATTGCAGCTGCGCTATACTTCGGGAAGCTGTGGGGCGTAGGTGCCGAAAGGGTATGCGATGCTCTCCTAGTTGGCAGTCTCGTGAAGAATGACTGAACCACTGTGATGCAGATTGTAAGTGTGATCGTGGCGCTGTCAACACTTGGGAATATCCTTGCAGTGCTCTTTACGCACGGCCGAGGCACGTTTCTCCTCACACTCTTACCCTTGCTTCTGGCGTCCTGACGCTCGGAGACAGTGGTTCAGGAGCTTGGGAGGGAAGGTGTCCTGCCCTTCTCCTCCCTCTTCGCTAGTAATAAGCCATTCAATGCGCCTTTGGGCGGCCTTTTCGAGCAATGGCTCGTGACGACTGCTATCGTCCTTCTTGTACCGCCGGGAGACGCGTATCTTTTCATGCTCAGCCGTTCGTATATTCATCTAAACGTCTCTTACTCGCCGTGCATGTCGCTCACCGACCTCACAGTGTCGTCCTACCCCCTCGCACTGATCAACATGTTCATCTCCGGAGGTCTCCTGTTCATCCACTTACCCGATGCATGGCTTACCAAGCCGCTACAAGCACTTCGCGCATCTTACGACTGGCACCCTCCCTTTCGCGCGTGGACACCGGTCGTCTTTTTCTTTTTCGTCTCGAACGTCTTCCTCGTCGCCGTACCCCTCATCCCACCTGCGCGCAGCTACAAGGTGTACGATCACTTGCCATACTGGGTGAGCACTACTCGGCCATTTGAGCGCGCGTCGGCTCAACGTCTGGAAACTCACAGCTGCACGTCTTGGTTTCTTGGCTGATCTCTCTCGGAGGAGTGGCGTATTGGTACTACTGGGTGGTGTGGGGGCCCAGGAGAGGCGGCTACGTCCTCGTTAGAGACTGGGTCAGAGACGACGATGGTTCGACTAGGAGAGTGGTGAGGAAGGTGCAGGTAGCAGCCTTTGATGAGTCTGATGAGAGCCAACGCGATGCGCCTCTACGATGACCTCGAAGCGCTCCCTCCACGAAACGCAAATCCGTAGCAATTTCTGGCGCCAAGTCGTTCTCCCATCGATTGACAGAGCGGGAGCATCAAGGAATGGGACACAGTGGGGCCACCATCGTCAGAGAGGTGTGTGCTGAGGATTCGGCTGCAAGGTTGAATCTTCTGGGGTTTTCGTGCGTGACCAGTAAGACGACGCGCGACTTAACGTACTTGCCATATTCGGATGGCACACTTGAGCCGCGATGACGTCGGGGTAGGAGTAGCTATGATGCAACCCGTTCCACTGCAAGCCACGTCCTGTCCACGGCCAGGTATATAGACCCCTAATGTCAGCCCAGACGAGCCTCACAACAGCACTCTTGCAATCTTGCTTCTAACACTACCGCTTACTATTTCTTGTACGACAACACGACCAACACAATGTCCGACTCTCTCACGGACCAGCGCCACAACGATTTCGTCGGCGGTGAAGCCAGCCGGGGACGCATCCCTGGGGCCGACAAGGCTACCACTGGCCACAACTTCGTTGCGGTTGGCGAGCTCTCTGGTAAGCGTCCTGTCTCAGGCTCCACGAGGGGGCTATGCTCACCGCTGTCGCAGGTCAAAAGAGACATGCGCACCGTGCGGAGGAGCACCTGCCTCCTTCGACCGGCCGTGACGCCCCGCCCGCAGGTGGCGTAGCACCCGGTACTCGCGCTGCCGTCGCAGGGAGTGAGCATATGCCACCACAATCTTACCCCCTCCGACGTGAATACTGACCCACGATCTCGTAGACCTGCCATCTGACATCCTCAGCGCGAGAGGGAACGCACCGCGTCAACCCTCACCGGTACGCCGTACCGACGGCACCCCCCATCCCCTGTCTCCCGCACCTGACTCGCGAACGGTCATCGACGACGACCCGTTCGAGAAGCCCACGAGCGCCGGCGACACGCTTACCGGCGCAACGTCTGCGGACGTCCACCAGGGTCTTGGTCACCCCGGCCAGGGCCAGACGAGCGCAGAACTCCACCACGACGGCAAGGCGCATCGGAAGCGGCAGATGCAAGGCACAGACCAGTACGGATCCGGCGAGATCCCCAGAGACATCGACGCCGACTCGTAGGAGGAAGCTGGGCTGGATATCATCATGGGCACGCAGGAGAGGATGTTCGGTAAAGTAGATACGTTCAAGTCGGTCTGTACGATAGATCATCATTCCGCATAATGACGCATGGCGATGATTTCACTTCGAATGGTGTTGCGATAGTGTCCGTCTGCTGTCTTCCAATCACAGTGTACACTGTAGTGACTTGTTGACCTGTGCAAATTGTAGAAGCAGCGGCGCCAACCAGCCCGTGAACAATAGATAAAATAGAGCGCATGTAGTAACATTTGGATAACATTATTGATACAGGTCATAAGGATAAGTAATAACGATAAGGACAGCTGTCGATGGGTTCCAGGCCCCGGGCATTTCTGGTGAGGGAAATGGCTCATGAGCGCATGCCGAGCACAACGCCGAGGACGAGTGCGAGGGCGACAACAACGAACACGGACAGCGCAGCAGCACATCGCCGTGCCCACTTCACCTCCGTCCGACGCATCGACAAAATTAGCTCCTCCCGCTCAATCGTAGACTTGGTCAACTCCCAGTCGGGAGGCGCAGACAGTGGCGACAGCAGGATCAGAGCACCTGCAACCCAGAACAGAGGGAACACTGCAATTGCAATCAGCGACCAAGCTAGTCGTGGATGCTCGAATATACTCACGGAAGCCGAACTTGAAGAGATACATCGCGAGCGTAGGCTGGTCAGAGACCGCCGTGTACATAGGAGGCTCCATCGAGCGTTCGTATGGCGGGGGCATATCCTCCAAAGACACAGACAGCCGCGACTCGTCGTGCCGGCTGTCCCGTGTGCCAGTGGGGCTCGTGTTCGAGCTGCGCGACGCGCCGAAGAAGTCGTCGATCGCATTCGTCGCTGTCTCCTCATGAACGGAGACGCGGATCGTGCGGGGTGTGTTGGTGCGCGCAGGACGAGGAGGCGGGAGCTGTGCCTCGACGTCAATGTCATGGGTAGGGGCCGCCGGGCGACCAAATACACCGAAGAAGGTGAGGTGCGAGGTGGAGGAGGACGCGGCAGGAGAAGACATCGTAGTGGAATAGTGCGACGCGTGCGTATCAAGTAAAGTCTGGAACAAGTTGTCTGACAGGCAGGTGCTCGAAGGCGTAGGCGGCGAGTGAGTATGTTGGAGACATGGCTAGAGACCGAAGCGTATATATGCTGCTGGCGAAGGGCAATCGGATGGACGTTCTGTGTGTGGGCGCAACCGACTGGATTGCGGGGAAGGTCGGTCGTGCGCCAGCTCGCAGCCGCCCACACTGACAAATAAACAAACGCCTACGATGCATTTCCCATCGCGGGAATAGCGCGTTTGCATGCCGTGTATTCGGGGGACGTCCTCCGAGTCGGCGGGGCGTGAATTTGGCTTGCGACTATTGAATCCTAGCGCACTCCCTCAAGACATTGTCGGCACTGGTCGGTGCGTCTACGCCATATCATCTGGAGCGTATACCAAGGTGGTATTGCGTGCATGAGACAGCGTCTGCGGTAGCAGGAGTCGAACTCATCAAGTCCTCCCCGGCAAGCTTCCGCCGCCTGCATGTGAGTACAGCTGATGCACACTTCATAGCTTCTTGGGTACAACATGGACACTTATCGTACAACCATAGACGTTCTACGTACTGTTCGACATAACGACGGCTACAGACAGTCCATTCCACCTGCTACGACCCCTTTCTACAGAGCTTCCGCTCAATGGTTTCCACCTTGTACCTGCACCTTCTTCACCTCACTCATATCGGGTTGAACGTCCCCCGGGCCGACGGGACCAATCGTGCCACTGACGTTGATACCCGCATTCTTGAACGTTTCTCCGTTTTCAGAGAAGAAACCGGAGTACGGAGTGGCGGGACTGAGAGACGCAGGGGTGCGCGATGAGTAGGTGAGTGCGGGGGAAACAACACAAGATCCCTCGTCCTCGTCGTCTGCGTCCTGGGAGGTACTCGTAGACATCGACACGCCTCCGGGATGGCTCGTCGAGCCTGAGGTCGCACCGTTGGGAGGCTTAATGATTGAGGTAGAGGGAGGTGAGGAAGTCTTAACATCGGCGTCGGTCATCGTGCTCTTCCGAGAGGCAGCGCTGGAGATGTTCACGTTGTTCTTGCTGGTAAATAGCGTTTGGGTATCTGCGAGGGCGCTTGCGCCCAAAGTACGGGCATTGCGGGTTGTAGTAAGACCATTAGAAGGGGAATATGAACTTTGCTGGGTGCTTGAGACATGTGTTTCGTTGACGCGTACAACGTTGCTAGTGCGACGAGAGCTGCTGGAGGATACGTTGCCGGCGAGACTGATGCTAGAATCGTACAAGGGGTTGTTGATGTTGCTGGGACGAGTGGTGTTGCGGACGTTGAGGTATTGTGTCGGTAGAGTGGAGGAACGAATGTGGAGGCCTTGACTGTCAACATCAGGACGGACTTGGGCGGCGAGAGTATGGACACGTTGGCGTGTGGGCTGCCCAGAGAGCGGTACTTGACGCTCCAGATCCAAAGCGCGCGTTGAACACGATAGGTCGCCCCCGCGAGAGAAGGCGTCTAGTCCAATCTCTCCCGGCATGGCCTGAGAAAGCGTGCGGTGGTTCGGGACGAGAGCTGCGGTAGCGTAAAAATCGTCCTCAGACACGGGTGGTAGGAAGTCGAGCAGACGCCGGTTTGCTCCGTACCCGCTGTTCGCGCTGCGTCCTACACGGGGATGACCACTGCGTGGATTCGGGGCGCGCGCAGGAACACTATCATGGTGCGGTGCCGCTGCATGAGCGCGTCGCTGGCGGACATGTGCTTGGAGAATGAGCTGCTCGACGGGGGTGTACCCGCTCTGCGCACGGGCTCCTTGCATGTTCATCAGCGCTAGTTGCAACTCAGCCTGCTCGTCGAAAAGACCTGAAGCATCGGCAGGAAGATCCTGGTGAGGAAGGCGAAGTGTTTGGGCTGAGACGTAGGGGTTCCGAGTGCTGAACGTGTCCAGCGACGGCATATTGACACCTAGCGCACTGGTTTCCTGCAGACCGATACCGCCGCGCAAGAAAGCATCCTGGGCAGGCAAAGGAGAAGTCGGGCCAATGGGAGAAATCTGGCCCGCCTGACCTAGTCCGAATTGATTGTATGCAAGCCCCAAGTTCGAATTAGTCGTATTCTGCAGGGAGCCCAAGTCGACGTCTGACAAGGTGGGTGACAGACCGGGTCCTTGGTACTGAGTACCCTTGAGGTTCAGCAGGGCGGCGCGTGCCATTGTCAACCGCGCTGGGGATTGCTCCCCTTCGGGGTTCTGGCGTTCGTTACGCTGGAGGCATTGACGAGATCGCATCAGAGGCCGAACGGTGACAGCTTCGTAGCAATACGCACCCTGAGCTCCCTCTGTTCCGCTGTATCCGCGAATCTGACAGAGATCCTACAGCCCGCGTCGTTCCAACCCCGGACGAGCCGACCATGCAAACGTTCAATGATGTCTTCCGCTGCGGTACGGGTTTCCAGCCTATCGTTTCGTAAGCATTGCCGTTCTAAAGTGAATGCGGAGCAAAAAATATCCGAAAAAGGGAGGAATTGACGCACCTGACGAACGCAATGATCCTCGGGGGACTACTCAAGCGGGTATGGAAGAAGCGCGAGCTCATGATGCGGTATGGTGTGACAAGAGCATGGAGAGTCGCCTCGGTTACATCTAGCGGAAGACCTTCCATGTACAGGTTGGTGGACGATTTGTCGCAAAGCTGCTCCATCTTCGCCTTGAATGAATCGGTGGGGCCTGTGTTTGCAGTGAGAGACGGAGGTACCGAAGCGTAAGGAGTTCCCGGGATCTTGTGTAATTGCTGAAAAGAGCGATATCAGAGAAATGGGTCCACGCATGACAGAGATGGTATTCACCTTGGAAAATGATGGATGAAGATTGCGGTACTTGCGCAGAGATTCGATGCACTTCTCCGCGGATGACAGCCTCTCGAATCTGGTTGGCGAGACGTCAGCTAGTTACATATATGGTGGACGGATGTGCACTTACAAGACAAATCCGTAGCCACTGAGGCGAGAAATTCAAGTCAGCAAAGGTGGATTCAATAGTACGAGAAGCAGGATAGCCAACGACGATATTGAAGACACATTGGACGAATCCTCCCAAGGAACGGAGCGCGATCTATGCCGCATATATGCACTTGATTTCTTCGCAGCATCTGACGACTCTTGCACAAACAAACACGAAAAGTACTCACGATGGTTTGTCGCTTACGTGCCGAGTAAAGGTGCGCACGCTCAAAACAGGTCCGAAGGGCCGAGTCATGGCAAGCAATTCCTCCTCCGGGAAATTGGGAGGTAAGCCATTGATATACACATTGGGCGGGCGCGGGTCGGAATCGGAGGAATCCGTCTGCTCGTCCTCTGTCGCTTCCCGAGCAACCTGTGCGCGAGCAGCAGCAGCAGGAACGAAAGCCGGTGGGAGCGAGTCTGGAGACAACCTGTGCGCCATCGCTTCTTGGGTAGGCGCTGTCGATGGAGGGTTAGCCTCAACACGCGGCCGTTTAGAGGTGAGGGACACAGCAGGAAACGTACTCGGACTCCCTTGCTCGCGAGCTTTGAAATTGACACTATCGTTACGGGTTCCGATGGGTCCGGAGTCCTGTGCAGCGGGCGGACTGTCGAGGTCCGGGGCAAGGCAATGGAGATCGATGGGCGTGTCAATGAGACGCGGTTGAAACTGAGGTGCGGAGGTTGAGAGAGTAGTGGACAGAGAGAAATCGGAGGAGGTATTCAGACTGCTGTTGGAACGAGGAGAGGGACTGGTGTTGAAGAGTGATGCGATGCGAGAAGAAGAGTCAGGCGGCGTAGGAGGTGCGTGTGGGGAACAGGATGAGGAGGTAGGCGGTGTGGCGGGAGTGTCGCGCGGAGAACGAGGGAAAGCGATGGAAAGCGAAGGAGAACGAGCGGGCGAGAGCTGTGTTTGAGCGGGAGAGCTAGACATTGCAACGAGAGCGAGCGATATAAGTTAAGGGAGACGTGCGAGACCTGTATGCGGTTACGAGGACAGGTCTGGGGAGTAAGAGGAAGTAGTATGCAGAGATTAGCTGTACTCGGACGGCAGGTAGGACGCCGGCGGAGGATTATACACGGATGGTACTCGATACGCTGTCTTGTGGGGCACAAGGGAGGAGGCGTAGGAGGTGGGCAGCGGGACAGGTGGACCGGGGGCGGGGGTCGCGGGGACGGCGGTATAAATACGCGGAGCGGAGGGGGGCGGCGCACGGCGTCCATCAGAGCATGAGCTTCTCTTGGACAGCGGTGGGGGCGTCCATGCGACCACCCAAGGCCAGATCGGGCACCCTCCCTGGCACGTCCTTCACGTCCGCTCGCACACAGGCGCCAGCGGGCGATCCTCCCACCGCAAGCAGTGCGTGCCCTCGCCATATCGAGCCGCCGTCTTCGGTGCTCGCGCCGCGCCTGCCCACCGCGCATGGCCGTTGACACGGACTGGGTGACGATCCCAGCATCCAGAACAGAGCCCGTCGTGTTGCACTCCAGTGACGGAGCAGCGTCCCTCGATGGCGGCCGAATCGGTCTCCTGCAAGCTCACATTAAAGTCTATCTCCAGATGCGGCAATCTCACCTCTCTATCGCCTTGGGCCATCGCCGCCGGCACTGATTCCAGTATGCCGGCAGTAGTAGCATGCTTCCCTGGCGTTGACACGAAGCATGACGCATGACGGAGGGACAACCGTCCACCTCCCAAGTTCCGGGACACGCTGCGACCATGCGCTTGCCCTGGTGGCGGCGAAAGCAGCTCGTCCGGCGAAGCCAGGTTGCGAGTCCGAACAGCCCCACTTTGACACAACTTTAGTGAGCGCACGTCCAGAGAAGTCGACTCCTACCCTCCTCGCATCCCAGCAAACCTTCAGTGCTCGCGCCACGAGGGTGTCGCAATTTGTGCTCGGCAAAGTCCGCCCAATAATAAGCCGTTGGTACATCACCCTCGAGCCCGCCTAGCTCAATCGGCTAGAGCGTCAGACTTTTCCCTTACCTCTACGTTCAAGGAATCTGGAGTTCTACCCTCGCGATGGGCTTTTTTACCCCTTACATCCCCGCTCTGGACCCCTGTCTGTGCTCTTGTGCAAGTCAGCGATTGCCACAGCTGGCAGACTGATACAACAGGAGAAGCGTATAAGTAACGGCACAAAATTCCCGCAACGTGGGTACTAACTTGACGACCGGTGCGAACTGAATAAGAGGCAGCGCAGCCAACAGGCCTGTGACCTTACGAGGGTGTTGAGCGTACGTGGTGTCATTTGGATAGCAGTATTGATACAGGTCATAAGGATAAGTAATAACGATAAGGACAGCGGTTGACGGGCTCCAGGCCCCGGGCATTTTCGGTGAGGGAAATGGCTCATGAGCGCATGCCGAACACAACGCCGAGGACGAGTGCGAGGGCGACAACAACGAACACGGACAGCGCAACGACACATCGCCGAGCCCACTTCACCTCCGTCCGACGCATCGACAAAATCAGCTCCTCCCGCTCAATCGTAGACTTGGTCAACTCCCAGTCGGGAGGCGCAGACAGTGGCGACAGCAGGATCAGAGCACCTGCAACCCAGAACAGAGGGAACACTGCAATTGCAATCAGCGACCAAGCTAGTCGTGGATGCTCGAATATACTCACGGAAGCCGAACTTGAAGAGATACATCGCGAGCGTAGGCTGGTCAGAGACCGCCGTGTACATAGGAGGCTCCATCGAGCGTTCGTATGGCGGGGGCATATCCTCCAAAGACACAGACAGCCGCGACTCGTCGTGCCGGCTGTCCCGTGTGCCAGTGGGGCTCGTGTTCGAGCTGCGCGACGCGCCGAAGAAGTCGTCGATCGCATTCGTCGCTGTCTCCTCATGAACGGAGACGCGGATCGTGCGGGGTGTGTTGGTGCGCGCAGGACGAGGAGGCGGGAGCTGTGCCTCGACGTCAATGTCATGGGTAGGGGCCGCCGGGCGACCAAATACACCGAAGAAGGTGAGGTGCGAGGTGGAGGAGGACGCGGCAGGAGAAGACATCGTAGTGGAATAGTGCGACGCGTGCGTATCAAGTAAAGTCTGGAACAAGTTGTCTGACAGGCAGGTGCTCGAAGGCGTAGGCGGCGAGTGAGTATGTTGGAGACATGGCTAGAGACCGAAGCGTATATATGCTGCTGGCGAAGGGCAATCGGATGGACGTTCTGTGTGTGGGCGCAACCGACTGGATTGCTGGGAAGTGAGTAGCAATTCTAAGCGCTCGGTAGGCGCGGCAGCTCGCAGACACCTACACCCACAAACAAACAAACGCCCCGGGGTGCTCAAGAGTTGCCCCATTGGCTTGCGCTTGGAGCACATACTATGAGACGTGAACGAATGGACATCATCGCAGCACCATCCGAAGTGAAACCATCGCCTTGGACTGTCACGTACAGTAACATAACTTACACTCAAGGATTCAACAACAATTGCGCGCACTAACGTTGGCCACCAATTGGCAGCCGTATACGGGGCAGTTCCCCCTTCTAGTATAATCGATATTGGGTCGACAGTTTGACATTGGCCTCTGAAGCTCCTCCCACGCCCACCAAGACTCCGGGTCTTGACACTGAACCTGGGTGTCGCGCTCTGGCCACTCAGAAGTCGGGAAGCACCTAGTCCCCTTGAAATGTTTATCACAGATCTAGGCGAAGATGGCAGGGGTGAGGCCATGAATATACACTACGGCACAAGGGTTGCGAAATCCCGAGGATCGACTTCAGCTACCAATCAATACATCAGCAGATACCAAGCGGTCCACAATGGTCGATGAAACAACGACAGCCGTCCGTACCGAGTATCGCCGTCCATACCGAGGCTGAGAAGTGTGCGCTCGTGTCCGCGATGAGTCCGCCTCCTCGTCGCGAATAGACTCCCCTGCAGGTGCTTCCCAGCCCCGCTATCCTTCTCCAGACTGCCCGCCAACTGTTATGTGTTGCCACGTCGGGCTTCTCCCCATCCTGACGTGGAATATTGCACACGTCTGAAGACAGCGAAGGTGCGCGCCTGTCCCTCGGGTCCGCCACGACCGTAATACGACCAGTCTTCGGGGAGATCGTGAGACGCAGCTCTCCAGCGTCCTGCCCCGCGCGCTCGCTACGTTGTACGGCTGCGACCCGATATTGTGCTTCCAGGTCACCTGCGAATTGGAAGAAGGATCTCGGGGTCGTGTAGTTTCGTGGAAGGGCCAGGCGGCTACGAGCGTCCTGATGGAGTAGTTGTATATTGATACCTCCAAGAGCAAGGGCGAACAAGGAGACTGAGACGAGAGAGACGAAGACAGGACTATGAGGAGCACGTCAGTAGGCTCAGAGGGAGTGGATAGCGTGAGCGGCGTACACTATGAACAGGCGGTCGCACCACGCTCCTAGGCGTATAGTGACCGGCTGCTGGGTGTCGACGAAGTAAATGGTCTTCGCTACGAGGCTAGGATACGTGTTCTGGTCCACGTTGAGTTAGTCATCATGCTGAATGGATTCACGTTGGTTGAGCACATACGTAGATGCTAGCAGTGATATCCGCCAAACCATTGTGCGCCAACGTATCCGCTAAACTGGTGTTCTGGGCCCGAGCCGCCTGGACTATTGCGCCAGGCAGCTGCTGTTGGATTGCTTGTAATCGTACGTAAGCCATGACATCCAAGCTATCCTCATCGAAGAAGAGCCCGTTGTAGACGGACTGCTGCGTAACGATAGGTGACCTGACGTCGATGCGAGACACAATGGTGGTTGTTTTTGAGGCCAAGTCAACAGCGACGGATACCTCGGAGACCGAGATTCCGGGGCGACATAGGACCATCAGTAAACCGTGCATTGGCTTAATGGCTTAGCGCCTTAAGCCACTTGGCTCTCCCACGCATATCTTCCAGCTGCTCACCCTCGACTGTGTAAAACATGCGGCATACGTGCCCGTGACGGCCGAGATGGAATGCGAAGGTCCATCCGCAAAGTAGAATACCACAGGACGAAACTGGAGGGGAATGTTGGTATAGTTCTGGCAGCCGCTATTATCCGGCAGGGTCGCCGAACCTGCCAGGAAGTGCAGTCATCCTTCGGATAGGTGGGTGCGATTGACATACCGAAAGAAATAGTCGATGCGTCAGTAATATCCCACGAGAACTGGCACTCTTCAAAGGTAGCACTACAGTGGGCCATAGTAGTGCCTTCTACAGAAACCATCCAAGACTGAAGAGAATGGTTAGCACGGCAGTCGAACGCGAATCTTCATATCACCCACGTCAGTCGGACTGAGGCACGATGCCTGGTAATGAACTGCAGAGACATCCGCATATACGGTACCGTTGGTGACGGCAGGCAGCTGGCGAATAATGTGTCATTTAGGTGTGGGCTCTTGTGGAGGCATAGTGCCCACCTCGAACTCTTCGATGGTATACCCGTGAGAGTCTACGAACGGAGGGTAGCTGAGGTCGTATAGTACCCTCGCAGTCGCAAATCCTGATGCTCCCAAAAACGCTAAGGGCCAACGCCATTAGTGTGTGTAAAGACACAGGAAGACGCATACATACCGTTCATGTCTATCCAGTGTGCCTGGGGATTGAGTCCAACCTGGCTAATGCTCGAGACGTATGTAACTATGTGCAAACGATTCAGCTACTATCACGTCCGCGCATTGTTGCAGAGCTTGACCTGGAAAGAGCCACCACACACTCCGCACAGAAAACAGCGCGACGGAAAATGGTTGAAGAGCGAGGATGATCAGAGACAACAAGCACGCCCAGAACACCAGCCAATCCCGGTTCTGGCGAGACGTGTAGGTACATACAAACAAGCTGTGGCAACAGTAGTGACCAACTGCCAGCTAACAATACGACAGGCCGACATACTTTTGATGTGCATAGTTCAAATCTATGGTCTTCTTCGCCGTCTCTCCCGCTTCGCCATGACGAGAGAGGTTGACCAGGAACTAACAAACATGGTTGAGCAGTTCATCAAAAAAGGCAGAAACTCACTCACCTGCATCTTATGGATCTCCTCGCGCACTACCGACCAAGAACATTGTATTATCAGGGAGATAAGAACAGGTACAGATTTCTAGGATGACCATCAGTACCCGACACGGATAGGACGATACACCCCTCGGGCTCACCAGGGCGTAGTGGGGGACCCCAGCTGTGAGACGACGAGGTACCGCGATGCCTTGATTGGTTGCGTCAGATCGTATCGAGGTGGTCAGGAAGTTATCCCCAAAGATACGTACCTTCGCGAATATTGGAGGCGAGGACCACGAGAGCAATCATTAAACCGACCAGACAAACGAAGTGACCCCACATGTAGATGTTGCTCAACATCCAAGGGGTATGGGGCTTCGAGTGTATCCCCTTGGTGTCAGGAATTATCGGAGTGTTACCGCACAGGGGACAAGAAGATCGGTATGGCATCAACTTCCCATCCTGGCTTTCAGGAACCGCAGAACAAGCCGTTGTGGACGTGAAGCTCGTCCTTGGCGTCCGACTTCTTTCCTGCCCCTGCTCCCCGAGGGTATTGTGTTGGGACCTCATCGTCTCCGGACCCAACGGTGGAGGGACGCAGAAAAGATATGTACAGGTAATGATATGTACAAACAAGAAGACGAAGACAGGTCTCCGGAGAACTGGAGAGTGGGGGGAAAGCGGAGACGAGGGGACCGCGAAACCATAGTAGTCTCGCCTCACCTGTTATATAGCCGTTGAGATATCCACCCTGATGAGTGGCAAGCCTAAGACCAGGGCACTCAGACCTGCAGAACGTCTCAGCCAAATTCCTTTGTGTGGCAAGTATCGTATCACGGTCTAGCTCGATGCCACGCGCTGGTAAAGGACAAAGGAACCAGGGCGTCGTTGTACACGAGGTTCGGCAAGTTCGACAGCAAGTGCCATCGAACGTGCATCGAGGCAGACGGGCAGTGTTACGGAATATGGAGGCGCATTCTCGAGCCATGGCGCGGGCGGGAGAATGTCTTGGGAAGGACTCAAGGCGGGAGTGATTTCCAGTGGCACCGGGTGGCGCGCTAGCACGTGATCGTGTGCCGCCGACAGGTTCTGCGTAGAATGCACGGGGACAGAGGCTTGCAGAAACAACGTAACATGCGATAGGATTAGCGGGGGCGAAGCAAGCACAGCGATGATCGATAGCTACAATCGACAGCAATATGGTGAGGGCACGACAGGTCCTGAAGACAAGAACAATCATAGCGACGCGAGCAGGCTCTGCGCCCATGGATTGCTCTCAATCTTCGGGCGGAATCTCTCTACACACCTCTTGAGCTCTTCAAGCTGCTCTTCGGGAGAAGCATCGTCATCAGCCATGACGACGTCCTCGCCGTCGTGGCCGGTGGACGTCCATGCGCGCAGCATCTCTTCGACAATCTTCGTACCTTCTTCAACCACATCTGCGGGCAGTTCGGGCTCTGCCTTCTCGTGGTTGAAGTCCTCGAGCTCCTCGGCTTTCTTCCTCGCTAGCTGTTACATCCCATGAGTGACGAATGTTCAGGATGAGATCGATGGTCCGCATACCTTGACCACGCTTTCGGGGAAGTTCGCCAATTCAGCGACGTGAATACCAAAACTCTGATCGCAAACGCCTGGCTCGACCTTGTAGAGCAAAGTAATGTCGCGATCCCCGCCGCCTTCCTCGGAGTCCGAGACATGGGCGACGACATGGAGGTTCTTGACATGACTAATCTCCTGATCCAGGGCGGTCAGCTCGTGGAAGTGGGTCGCGAACATGCAGAAAGCATGGATCTGAGACGCGATGTGCCTATAGATGAAATCAGGATTGGGTGAGAGGTACAGATCGGGAAAAACAAACGTACTCGGAAATGGCCCATGCCAATCCAAAGCCGTCGTAGGTCGAAGTACCTCGTCCTAACTCATCAATGATAATCAACGAGTCCTTCGTCGCAGACTGATATCCGCGATCCGTGAGTTATCGCCTCAACGAGCGTCAAGGATGATAGCGTACCCGGAGAATGGTTGCCGTTTCGAGCATCTCGGCCATGAAAGTCGAAATGCCCTTCAACTGGCTGTCACCAGCACCGACGCGGCAGAGAATGGAGTCGAAAATCGGGATACGCGCTGACGCACAGGGCACAAAGCTCCCGGTCTGTGCCATCAGAGCAATTACACCGACCTGGCGGATATATGTGCTCTTTCCGCCCATGTTTGGTCCAGCTGAGCGGGATCGTCAATAACGCACAGATGTGCCGGTGGAAAGTCATACGCACTGATGATTTGGAACTCGCTCTCGTCTGTGATGCAGCAAAATTGATGTTAACATCAATACAGGAAAGTAGCTTCGATGTGTGCACCTTTGATCATCTCGACATCATTCGGAATGAAGCTGAGGTCGTCTTGCACCTCGAGGCATGGGTGTCGAGCCTCCTTCAAGACCAGACTGCCAGAGCCACGCGCAAGGATCTCGGGCTTGACGTACGTCTCCGGAGCGTTGACGGCAACATGGGCGAGACTACATATAGATTGACCACCAATCAGCGACGATCGAATGCCAAGCATACACCCTCCTACCTGACAGTTACGTCCAAGTGTGCAATGACGTTGTTCAGCGCCTCGAGTACGGGCGTGTACGTTGCTGTCCATGCCGTCACTAAGAATGGTCTTCGCAACAAAACATATACGAGAGACTTACAAGCGATATTCACGACCTCCTTGACGAGCCCACTTTGCGTGCGCGAATACTGCTCGGTAATTTCGGTATGCTCCGTCGAAAGGCCCTTGAGGGTCGGGGTAGTGAAGAACACCCCGCTCTTCAAAGCGCCCAACTCGATGTACCTCTTCTTATCGTCGTGCAGCAACTTCACATCCTATTACAGACAAAACGTCAATTTCTCCAGTCTGTGATATGGCGTTGCGGAGCAGCACACACTTACATTTTTGGAGATCCGGAAGCAGTATCCATACGTAGGCGAGTTCTCGAGGTGGAGCTTCTTGTCGAGCTCAAGCCCGAGCGCCTTCCCGACCTTACGGTGCTCCGCATCGAGCCCATCGCGCACTTCAGCTAGCTTGTCTGCGAGAGACTGCAGGCGCGCGTCGTAGTCCGGCTTGATGACGAAGTTGTGGTTCTCGAGCTCGTCAAGGTCGAGCGTCTGCTGCACCATCTCGGAGTACTTCGACAGCGAGCCGTCGAATTCCTGGCCGCAGTCTTGATAAGCATGTACTTTCAGGTATGAATGGTGGCTCCAAGACCTACCTTGAGTTTCGTGAGATATATCTCCTTCAAGAGGGCCTTCTGATCCTCCGAGCTTGTCTCCATGCTCTCGATGGTGCTGATGAACCCTTCGAGCTATCTTTGGCATTAGCACGCATATGCTTCGAGGACACAATGTCATTCTGTACCTTGAGTACGGCCTGGTAGACGCGAACGACGTCTTCCAGCGAAGCGATCGACTTCTGGAATCGCTTGCAGATACGGTGCATGTCCGGCATGAGCTTCAGGTAGTCATCTTGCAGTATTCGACGAGTGTTTGCATCCTCGAAGAACGCCTCCACCAAGCTCTGTCGCCTGACTGTATGCGTGTCATTCAGGATGTAACAGACTAGTGAGCGAAGAGGACGTACGGATGTCGTGCCGGTTCACCAGCGGCTGCTTCAGCCAGCTCCCGAGCAACCTTGACCCTTGGGCAGTCTTGCACTTGTTCAGAAGGCCGAACAATGTCGTATTTTTGTTGGATCCCTGCGTGTATGCGGTGAGTGCACGGACGCATAGTTGGCAGGAAGTTACTTACGATGTTCCCTGGCGCCTCAGTCAAGTTCAAGGCGCGAAGCGCGCTAGCATCAAGGCGCATATACTGAGATAAATCATGCGTCCGAATGCTCCAAGCGCCATGGTTGGACGGGTCAGAGAGTAGGGAAAGATAGGAAACAAGTGCCGACAGAGCTGCAGGGGCCGTCGGCAGTGACAGCTGCGCTGTTACAGAGAGTTCGATTCAGCAACATGGATGTTGTTGGACGCCAAGTGCGACTTACGAATGGTGGCTGCAGAGTCTGTAGATGACGAAGGCATCGCGCTCGCGTTGAGCAAGCGTACGAGGTCATCGTTGATGTTTTTTACAGTGAAGTCACCTGTGAGGAATCTATATTAGCGAGCGCGCCTCCCTAGACGCGGTGTACACGCACTAGGTTTCCGTTCGGTTATGACAACCCCACACCTGTCGAGCACTTCCTTTAGCTTCTTCAAGTCGAAGTCGCGCTCAGTAGTGCCAGAGTTCGTCCCGGTGGGGATGATGGCCTCTTTGACGGACAGTTGGATGATAAGAGTCTGCATATATGCAGACGCAGACAAAGCAAGAGTAAGCGAAGACGGCCACATCGACTATTGCGCGACGAGAACGGACCTCAGTGTTTGAGAAAAGGTCATTGTCGACGAAATCTGCCACACCCAGCTCCCGCGTGCTGCTGTCGGCGTACGCGACGCCGACGGCTTTGGTCTTGACTGCGGTGCTTCCCGGTACCGCTGGCGTACTCGCAATTTTGATGGCCATGACGATTGGAGCGGAGACGATGTCCGTGTTCACAAATAAAAGATCCTCTACAGCTGACAGGTTTCCAGGAGAAGCCTAACGCACACACTTAACAAGGAGAGCAAGCGGAACATACATATAGAACGTACCTCCTTGTCCAAAACGAACTTGGTAGCCTTCTTTCCTTGTCCTGCTTCTGGAGCCCATATTTCCACTTTCAGCTGCTTACTCGTCAACGCATCCCGGAGGAAACTCTTGGCAAGACTCTCGCTGAGCGTGACGCTGGGTAGACCAGCGCGCCCACCGAGGTACTTGATGACGGAGTTCGTACGGAAAAGATGTGTTGCGACGTAATGGGCGTCGGGCCCATGCACAGAGTAGTACTCGTTGCGAAAGAAGAGACGAACTGTCCCTGTCTCAGGAGACTTGGGAGGGAGTTTGGCAAAGAATGAGCAGAAGCCAGGATGAGACGAGTTATCTGAGGAGGGATGTCAGGGACGAGGGGCAGGAGGGATGCATGGCGGGGAACGACAGACCTATCTCGTACTCTGCATCCTTCTCTTTGCCATACATGAGAGACATGGTGAACACGATGCTCGTCGCAGCCTCAGCAGGACAGACGCGTTTCCTGTCAATGGGCCAGGACGCGTCCACGCGACGCGACGCGTACCGGCGGAGTGCCACGCTTTGAAACTCCGCCTCCACAGCTGCTTCCCGGCGCTCGCTACAATTTTTCTTTGGTTCTCACCTTGACACCGAGCGAGCAGAGCTATCAAACATCTGCGCCGCTCCGCCCCCCGTCCCGTCGAGCGAGCAATTGATTCACGACAGCAATGACCCCGCAATGTGTTTCCTGGTCTCAGTTTCAGAAGTGCCTGGTAAGCCTCATGTCTTTGCCTCGCTTCGTCTCCTTCCAAAATTCCGCACCTATTGTGTACAGGCGCAGTGGCATACTTCCCACCGCAGCTCCTGAAGTGGCTTGATGGTGCAAGATCGATTTTTTTTGCTTCCTTTATTACTTCCATACCTACTCTAACTGCCGGTATAGAGGTTTGTCACGGAAGGTACATTCATCATGACCTCGAGCTTCAGGTCATCTCTGTGTAGACACCTTGTGGAACAATGCATATTAGCGTCTTCTGTATGTCCAAATGCGAGGGTATCGCTATTGCACAAGGGCATACACGGTACACTTACACCTTCAGATGAGGCTTTCCGTTCTCACAGGCGTGAACTAGTCGACGGACGCAGACGTCAATCATCAAGTCACTTACGCAGCTGTCATCCTTCCCTGCTCGGTGTCGCTCTTAGACGACTTTCCTAATGCGGGGGCCAAAGTGCGGCGGTACCAAGTGTGAGGAGCATCATGTCAAAAGTGTGGGCAGATCAGGTGAGAATGAGGTCCCGCCGCCCCGTCCAGACATAGGCTTACTAGTTCACCATTCAATATTCAATCTGCACCCCTCGGTAGACATGTCGTGTGCAACCGCTTCGCTCTAGTACACCAATATCATTAATAGGGGTAGTCAAAGATGGCGGTTCGGAGGACGGTTCGTCGAGCGATTCTGCAGCGATTCCGTCGAATGGAATCGTCCTGGATTCGTGTGGGCACTTTGACCACCCCACGTTTCTACGGGTCGATTCCAGGGTAAATTCTTGAGTCGGTCAGGCCTTCGGGCGTCTGTGATATCAAAATCAGTGTAGTCTAGGGTATGGTTAGAAAAAGAATCGTTTTCGAACAGAGAGTTATGAACAGGCGCCCCGAATCAGGCCGTTTCTAACCGGGATTAATAACTGTTATTAACTCTTGTGTTATTAACTGTTAAGAAGATTTTCTAACGCCGCCGAGGTTTATTAACAGTCGTATTGAATCGATGATCACCACGCGTCCTATCATCTTGCCTGGCTCGCAATCTGCTACCCTATCCTCATTGTAATCCTTGTCTCCATCATCTGGGTCGCACAAAAGCATGCGCAAGGCTTAGGCACGGAGATTAACCTCGCCATCTACCTTGAACTCGGTATCTTACGCCTACAGCCTCCGACCGGACTTTTGAACAATATATAACCGGGCTGATAGACCCCTGGGCTTTTGAACCGTTAATTAACATGTTAATAACCTGTTAATAAACACCGGGTTCATTATTCCGACTTTCAAACTTTACCCTAGTGTAGTCCATGCATCCTCGCGCGACGGTTTCTCTCCGTGTGCCGC